CACATTTGATCACTCAAAATCAAGATCTATTTCTTAAATAAACCTTTAAGTGTACAGTTATACTTAGAATTTAAATTCCAACACTTATAACGGAATTGATTTAATAAGAGTATAAATGTTAAAAAGAAGGAATACAGGCCTGAAAATGTTTTATCTTCTTCTATTTTGAAGTAAGGTAGATATCCATCAGCGTTGAAGTGTAAAAGAGGTGGTAAACACAATTTCATTTCGATACCATCAAAACCTGTATTTGTGTGAAAAGTAATATACGTGTTTTATATGTAGTGAGATTTGTAAAAGGCATCCGCATGTGAGCTGTTACGAAATTAAAATAAATTTAACAAAGGTAAGGGGCATATAGTTTCGGCTGACCCAATAAAATTACTTGATTGTATTTGAAATCGGGAATAAAATTCATTATGATTACTACTTATGAAATAAAAACATACCTTTTAAATAAATCTAGTAAAACAAAATGTTTATTATAAAATAAAGCGTATATTTCAAAAATGAATGTTTAGCAAATTAAAAAAGAAATATATTGAGAATTTAAATTTACCTGTCGGACATCCTTTGTCAGTCCCCAAAACACCATATGATCCATGCGGCCAAGTTGTATTTATTCCTTGAAAAATCCCATCTGATTTGTAACAAAAATTGAGCTGAAGCGTATATTGGCTGAATGGTCCTAAGATATTTGTTTCTTCCGTTGACCGATTACTGTGCCCTCGACTATGTTCAGAACAATATTGTAAATAAAATGTTTCGCTAAAGGGGGAAGATGTTGTAAGATTTATATATCCGGTTTCCCATGATTGTGTTTCGTCGTCAGCACATCCCTCGTTTGACATGGGTAAGACAAATGGTGCCGAGAAAACTTCGGTGTCTTGAATTTCTATAAGAACGGGTGATATATTGATCTAATCAGCGAAACAAAAGTCATGGTACAGTATAATATCTTAAAGTATAAAAAATCTGGGAAAGATGTGACTCCTCGGATACAATGAAATCAACAACATTACATGAAAATTGCAGACTCGATTTTATTAAGTCTGTGCATGAAAGATAATGTATTGTGTAGGATCTCGCATGCCCCCTAGCACCGGCTTATGTTTGTCATTAGGAACAGAACAGAACATATCTAAATTTCTTAATACCTCTTGAATAACTAGCTTTAAATTTCGATATAACTTGTCAAGTGTGTATGAATTGCGATGAAAATAAAAATTAACAATATTTTAGTCATTTACATTAGACATTGTGACGATCACAATTATTTCATTTCATAATTATTTCTCATGAATTACGAAAATACAGCCTCTATAAATGTAGCAAGTTATGAGATGATTAAAGACATAATATTTGCTTAAAAAATGTATACTTATGAATTTGATAAATCTTTAATCTGGAAATTATGAATAATAAACTAAATGACTTTATATTATATCAAAAAATATGTTCAAACCCATTGCGTTTTCTGCGACAACAGCCAATAGTATCATGGACATCGCAAGCGAGCTCGCCATCCTTACAAGAATTCCTGTCTGGAATATATATATGATCAGTTCATTCAAAACAATCGCTCTTCTAACCTTCCAACATTTTGTCTTGTTCAGAAAAAATGACGTTTATATACATGTACATTTTTTTTATCAAGAATATACAAGCACATACAAATATTCCATTTTTGAGCATTTTTTAATTAGATCTTGAAACACAATTTAAAATAATGATAACAAACAACATACTTTTGCGATGATAAAATGTTAAAAATGCAGTTTATTAATACGTAAAGCTTTTGCGACGTGTTTATAAAATTGTTATTACATTACCAAAAAAAAAAAAAAAAATGAAATATTTTATTTTTTTTAATTTCATGTATTTTTAAAAAACACTAATACTTTTTTAAAAATTTTAACGAGTACTCACTGAAAACTGCGAAACAACTATCATAAAGATGTTATGAAGCCGATTTGCATCGGTATTTGAGAAGTGCCTTTACTCTTACTTTATATACATATACATTAATTAGGCACATGTGGTGTCTCTTGGCACTTCTTTGTAGTTTTTACGCCTCAGCTAATTAATAGAATATGAGCCGCGTCGCGACAAAACCAACATAGTGCGTTTGCGACTAGCATGGATCCAGACCAGCCTATTCGCTATCAATTTCTCTACTTGTATTGGGTTGGTATAAGCGAACAGCATGGATCCTGATCAGACTGCGCGGATGCGCAGGCTGGTCTGGATCCATGCTGGTCGCAAACGCATTATGTTGGTTTTGTCGTGACGCGGCTCATATCATATCATTCTTGAATTTGATTCGCAATCACACTTTTTTCAATCAAAAGGTTAACATCTACGTACTTAGTGAAAAATGGACAGAGCAATGACTTTAGTCAATTGAGGAGATCTACTTACTCCCGATTTTTAGACTCAAGATTTTACTATCTATATGAAATTTAGATGAAAATTTCTAAAAGAAAGCATTATGACTATGATATTATGATTAAATATATGGCTCGCAAGTATTTTTATTGGACCGCTGCATGCTGTCGGATTGACAGTAAATTTTAAGTGTATGTACGTTTATCCCATATTGTTCGCATAGACTGAGGGAATAGAAAATTACACTTTACAAAAAATCATTTCAATCATGAAAAAAGATAAAAAAAAGTGTTCAACTGTTAAGTGTGTTGTGACAGGGCAAATGGTACAAGAGTCATATACATGTAGGTACATGAAACACAAATGCCATGGTTGAACTTAGTAGTTAATTTTCATATATTGGTACATAATAGCAATTTATGATACACTAGCCAATCCTGTTATAACACAGTTTGGTCCTGTCCGAACTTGCTTCTCACAAGACTTGTGACGTGAATGGGGTCCGTGGTGATTGTGTCTGAAATGGTGGATGGAACCATACAAATAGTAACTGTTGCCCTAATATACGAGGGTTGTCCAAAAAAATCGTGCACTGCAGTTATTGTCGAGAGATTTATTAATAAAAACAAACAAATTATATATCACTTGAAAGAGGAATCTGTCTCAAATAAGAAAACAAAAGAAAAAGTCGAGTAACCGGCGTGTCGTATAAAAGAATGGTCATTGAGTTACCTTAGTAACGTAATACCGGCGCACGACAAAAAATTGGGTTAGTTCATTACTGTAATTGTATAAATTGTTTGTTGCTTGTAAAGTGGTATTTGCTATTTATGTTATAATTTGTTTTACTGTCAATAGAGGAATGATTGATGCAAAGTATTGTGTAGTTTTTATTGTTTTTATGCAACGTACATATAGCGTATTCCACCAGTGCAGGAATATGTTGGATAACCCTCGTCACATGCGCCGGCATTACGGACGGACGTCTTCCTGACCGGTTGTCATCGTCTACCGACTCTCTTTCTCTTCCAAAGACCGTTTGTGCCATTTAAAAATCAGCCTTCGTGACACTGAACTTGTCCTGCTTGCCCTTTTAAGTTCTTTGTAGGTATATATTGGTGTTTTACCAATATCTGCACCAAATTTAATGATCGTCCGTATTTCGGACGTTTAGCGACTGACTTTTTCACGTAATTACAGTATTGACGACCACACAGAAATGTCTGTTTACGACTGTTACAATAAAGCAAATGACTCCATATTTTCTAGAAACTTTAGGAATACGCACACACACTTTTCCCTGAATTTTAACGTTAATATGTAGTGTTTAAAGAATACCGTGATGTATCAAAGCAATGAACTAACCCAATTTTTGTCGTGCGCCGGTATTACGTTACCAAGGTAACTGTATGACGATTCGTTTCCAGGACATGTCGGTTACATGTTTTTTTCTTTTGTTTTCTTATTTAAGATATATCTCCCCTTCAAGTGATATATAATTAATGTTTTTCTATCAATAACTCACACGACAATAACTGCAGTGCACGAATTTTTTGGACAACCCTCGTACCAGTCTAATCGTGCGGCCAGCTCAATAGTTAGAGCGTTGGACTGTAAGTCGGGCAACCTGGCTTCGATTCTGGATACATTTTTTGTTGTGATTGATCATGAAATTCTTTTCTACGGTCCTTTGCACTGTTCCTCTGCTCTGGCATGTACTAAAGTAATATTGTCTTGCTAAAGTGATGACAACTAGCACTGCTTGACAGCCTGGCCAGGAAAGATTCTGTGGATGTACTGACTGCAATCAGTCTGGTAAATTCAATTAATGTGTGTTACTATCTTGATTAGGAGGGTAAACTACCAATACCAAATACTCAAGTATACCAATCTATAATAACCTGGTTTCTCGGTTTTCTAAGAATTTGACCTCGGACTGTTTTACTTTAGTAGATTTACAAACGATCTTGCTTAAGTACGATGCTTCAATATTACAGACACTATTGTTTAAGTTCTTATACCGTAGGGAAATTTAATGACTGCATGATTGGGTAATCTTAAGCTTTCACATAATTGGTTGTTTTGTATTTGTATTTAATGCGAAGACCGATCACTAGTGCTCCATGACGATGGCTTTAGCGTTCTTTATATACGTGTTTGAGAATTTTATTCATTCTCAAACGAAGTTACAAATTTGCGATTTCATAAGGAAGCCACGTATCATGTAAAATGTTCGGCAGAATAAAATCATTCCAATACATCGATGAAGCTGGGACAAAGTATGTTATTGTCCATCCGGTTAGCGCAATAGATAGAGCGTTGGACTTTGAATCGGGCGCTCCGGGTTCGATTTCCGGACAGTGCAGGTCACTTTTGTGGTGATTGGTCATGAAAATCCATGTACCTCTGCTATGGTATGAACAGAAGATACATGTTCCTTGTGAAAGTGAAGGCAAGTAGTACTGGTAAACTGCTTGACAGTCTGCCCAGGAACAATGCTTTGGCAGAACTAAACTCTGATGAATTCAATGTGGCTTACTGTCGTGACCAGGAGTGAAAACTACCAACACCAACTTTCAAGAAAGTTTCAAAGAATACAAAATCGGTGTGAATATCCTTTTATACATTTATTTCTCAGTAGACATATATGAACAGAGTAAAAATCCTAGAAACTATAACTGATAAAAAAAGAAACAACTAAATTAAACAACATTTCAATATCAAAATAAAGGGTCTTATTACAGTGATATAGGTAAAAAATGTAACAAACATATCTACAAGAACAATAGTTTTTAGATTGCAGCTTATAACATAAAACAAACACAGCTTTCAAACATTAACCCAAACATTAACTGATTAAGTACTTACTTATAAAATTGTAAATAAAATGTTCATTTTTGTACAGTAAGGCACTTTACAACATGTACAAGTTAATGCAGTTAATAAATGAGCTGGTCATGACAAAACCAACATAATGGGTTTGCGACCAGCATACATCCAGACCAGCCTGCGCATCCAAGCAGTCTGATCAGGATCCATGCTGTTCGCTTTCAAACTCTAAAAAGTAGAGAAACTGATAGCGAACAGCATGGATCCTGATCAGACTGCGCGGATGCGCAGGCTGGGATGGATCCATGCTGGTCGCAAACCCATTATGTTGGTTTTGTCATGACGCAGCTCAAATAATCTATGACTAAACTAGGGTATTTTTAACACTGACTTGTCTATCTTATAGAAACAGTCTGTCGTAACTTTCAGAGCTTTTGAAGATAGTAAACAGTATAAAGTTTAGTCAGATACCATAGATGTGCAGTTTGACCCTGGAATCCAAACTGTTTTGCAAAGTCTTTGCAATGTCAATTTCAACATTACAACAAACTTAATACAAAACTTTCATAGAAGACTTTAAGTTACTGACAGGATAAAAAAAGACTTTTATTACATTTGTTTCAGAAATTAACATTATGCAAGGTAATGATTAATCACTTTTCAATTTAATTACCATAAAATTAATAAAAAATATTTCATAAAAGCCTATTATTGTACGTAAAATCTCTTGTCCTTTTAAACTAGATTATATATACATGTGTATATTTATTATCTATATATAACATTTACGCAGTTTGGCAAACATTCTGCTTTTCTTTCATCAATATGAAATCTTCAAAATACCAAATATTCAACACTTTATCTTATAACAATATGCCAACATTGTCAACAAAAGTTCTAATACCAAACAACATTTCATTGAAATTCTGCTTTTTACATTTTTTCAAGGATAATTAAAACAAAATGTAAGTGAAACTTATTTTCTTCTTACCAATTTGAAATTAAGTGACATTTTATCAATTCAATAGATTTTACCAAAGAAAACATACATGAATTTAAATAAACAATACAAATGTACATTATTTTATCATAACATATAATTTTTCTACTCATTGTACATACATTGATATCTTTTTCCCTTTCCTGACTAAACAAATTGATTTAATTTTTTAATTTTACATTAAAATATATTCTATTATAAAAGGAATAAAAAATCTTTATCTATCACACATTAAGCCAGAAATTATCACTTTTTCATAATACTCCTTTCTATGCTTGTTTTTTTTTTGTCTAAAACAGATTAGTTTGTAACATTATTCGAATGAATTCAGATTGGTCAACGTGTCCATCTCCGTTTATATCGGCCTCCTCCATCATTTCCTCCAGCTCTCGTTCTGTAAATCGTATCCCGGCTTCTTCACATGACTTCTGTAAATCCCCCAATGTTATGGACCCTTTCTTTGCTAAAAAGAAAAATAAAAACTCCAGTATATCAAGTTTTAGAATACATGGACATGTTTTTATTTTTTATTTATATATTCCAGTGTTAATTCAAGTATGCATGGCAAAATGATGCACTTCAAATATTCAACATTATTTTGTTTTTTTTAAATGATTTTATAGCCAAATCCATCTTTACATTTATAACTAGTTAGCATTCAATAGGCATGAGCCACATTTTAAGCTTACTAATTATTGAGTTTTTACATTTATAACTTGCTCTTAATCTGTCCGCAAACTCGTGGGTATCTATAGGCATAATAACTGCTGAATCCACCTTTAAATCTGGACAAAAACCAGTAAAAAAATTTTCCAAGGAAAGCTTCAAAATATGTGGTGACTCAGTTCTAGCAAACAATGCAGACCAAGATCATGTAGCATTTTTTGCCATCTAAAGCTTAATGTTAACAACTAAGTCTATCATGCATTTATATTATTTTTATTTTTTATGTATTCATTTTTTTTGGAGGGAAGGTGTGTGTGTGTGTGTGGGGGGGGGGGGCTATGATTCTAAGTGACATCACATACATACTTTTAAGTTTGATTTTTATTGGCTTGCCATGTATCCATGTATTTCTTTTGGTATGAGGGGCAACCTACCTTCATCAGTTAGCTTGATAGCTGAAGGAATCCCCATGAGATATCAACCCACAGCATTAATGGTTAGTTGATTTTTTTATTTTAACCACTTAGCCGAATGATAATACTAGTATCATTATGTCAATTATATTCAGACCTCTTTATCATTAAATGTTACAACATAATTAACCCTCAGCTTGCTGGATTCTACACATGTGACCAGTGGCCTACTCGATCATAGACTTCCCAGTCTGCTATTCAGTTAGTACATATTTTGAAATTTCCCCTAAAAATGATGAATGGTTGTGTCCAGATTGAAAAATGGACCAGCCCATTAAAGATATTTAAAATGGAATGGGTAAAATAACACATGATATTTAAATAATGAAATAGATATGTTACTGTTTACATACTATGATCAAACATTGAGAATCCCTTTAATATTTCATCATACATGTCTCGTGAATCACCTTGTCTGTCTATCACAGTCTCTAAATATTCATTGAAATCTAACATTCTGAAATAAAAGCATCCAAAACAGTGTATAATTGAAAACCATTGCCTTAAATTATTGTTCCAAACTATCTCAGTAATACTATTCAATATTTTTTAAAACATTAAAGTCATTGTTGACTTAATGAAAAACTTAAAATAAAGAAACTGTCATTAATACAGTTTTTTCATACTGTCATTTCTGAAACACTGATATAAAGACTTCACAAAAAATATTTCAAGTTTGCTGGTTTCTTTTTTAAAATTTGATTTACTTGAGTGATGTTTTTTTGGGGATGTGTCATCACCTTTTGCAAAACTTTATTATTTTCAGACTCAGAGCCAGAATATATAAAGAATTAGTATGTCAAGTACCTCTGATACTAATATACTGTTGACATGACTGGATTTTATTAGACTAAAAATTCATGAAGTCCGGAAGTGCCATGAGTGATTGATATAAGTAAAATTCATGAAAACGAAATACATGTCCAGTTAAAGTTTTTTCTTACAATGATTCTTCTTCAAATTTAAACTAAATAAACTAACGTAACATACTACTGTTGGCAACCAGACACTAGCAATGACAATCATATTTATTACAGGTTTTTGGGATTGTCATACACATACTTAATTTAGTAACATAAGAGAATAAAGCTTTAGATTCTTTGAATATATTATACCAGAGAACTGGCACTTGAAAGTTAATTCAAAACATATCTTAAAATGAAAAATGATTAAATGATAGTTTTATATAATAGCCGGCGGAATATCATTATATAGGTATTAAACAGCGGTGGCATACTACTTATAACTATCACTTACAATCAAGGGCAAAAACAAATTCTTGGGGTACATGCTCCTAAACCCCATGGAAATTGACCTACACAAACATATAGACCAATATACAGCCCTGTAAAGCAGAACTTACCCAACACCTTTCAGACTGCCATCAGTAGCTAGCTGTTTGGCCTCTTCTCTGGACACCTTAAATCCGAGAGATTTCATTGCACGTCTTAATTCTGGCGGAGCCAAAAATCTGGCAAGTAGTAAAAGAATAAGATTAATGCACTTTGAGTTCATTTATGATAATATAATAATGAAGGTAATATAAAATATACAAAAGTCTATGGACATTATTGTACTTTTTCTTTAAAAAAAACCCAGTTGTAATGTGTTACAATAAAAGAATAAAAAAGTTTAGTATATCAACTTCATTAGTATATCAACTTCATTGCAGTTCATATGCCACTTTATTAAGGACACTTTAATGTATAGTAATAAATATAGTTTAGAATTTTATGACTCTTCAATTTTTAAAGATATTTGCTATGAAACAAATGATGCAATTATTCCACCCGACAAATTGATAAAAGTAATATTTCAAATGTACTTAAATATGGAAATATACTTGATCATCTTCGGTGACCCACAATTTATATTTCATACATAGTCTGGTCATATTACATTACATATATAGTGTTACCCATGGTTTATATTTTTTACAATACTACATTATAAGTACAATATATACTACATTATTTATAATATACATGTAGTATGTACAGAATATAAACCGTAAATCACAATCAAGAAAAGATGACATTCAGTTAAACATTATTCTGGCTATTGTGTTACTTCCCTTTACTTACTACTATACTTGTAACTTGCCATGTAGTAATAATAGAGTAATTGCCTGTGACTCTCACCAACATTCTTCCACAAGAACATGTGTTAAATATCCACAATAAAATAACAGACACAGGGTTTTCATTATTAACAAATTGGCGATCCAAACCATCAGATCAAATGCTGCTAAAATCAATTGTATTTTCATTCTGCATACATGTATTAAATTAAATGTATCACCATTGACCATTGGCAAAATGGGTTGTTTTCCTTGGAGCATCTGTTGCCTCAGATAAAAATGAAAAGCCTGCAGACATAGAATCATGATGCCTTCCGTAACATTATAACCAATGTATCCATGTATTTGGTTATACATCAAACCGAAATGAAATTGAACTCATTGATTTGAATGACACATACCCATCATTATTAATATCAAACAGCTCAAATACAACTCTCAGATCTCGGATTTCCTGGGGTGTCAAATTGTCCAATATTCTTGTTGATACTTTCACACCATGTATTTCTTTCTCATCAACCGGATGTGAAGTCAGGAGTTTGACTAACTGAAAGACAAACAATCAGTCAAATATCTAGCAAATTGTTATCATGTTAACTTGATGAACTGAAAAATTAACAAAACTTTTAAGTCAAAAAATTATTTGAGTATTTTTAAACTTGCTTGTAGTGACAAATGTACTGAAAAAACATTTATCCATTGCAAAATTTTTTATTTTGAATTGACATTTTAAGTTTATGTTATCATTTTTTCAAAGCAAAACCAAAAATATTTTTTATGCTATAAAAATCATGTATGCAAAATATAAAAACTAATGGACCATTTTTGGAAAGTACTTGATTAAACAGTCCAAATTTCTTGTCATATAATTTGGAAGGGTTCAACACCCTTTGCACCCCTCAGATGCTTAGACACCCTGTATGGAAATGAGAATAGTCCTACTAATTCTTCTTAAGATATATATACACCTATGATTTTAATATGTCAACTTTGACCTGGACCATGTTATTTGCAGAGCATACTCTAAACATCTAATTTTTTGTATTACAATGAAAAAAGCTGGTGATATATTTTAATACAGAATATATTTCAGTTTGACTGAGTGCATGCATCTGACATACTCTCGCATCAGATCCTAGAACCTGCCATTAACAGATTTATAAGCAATGAGTGTAAAATTTCTAGCTCCAAGTAAAAAGGCTTGCACTAGGCGCAGTTTGAACAAATGATTTCTGTTGTTACACTTTTTTACGCATCTATTTTAAAATAATATTCACCACATACATAGTTGCTTTTCATTATTATTTTGTTAATTAAATATATGTCAGTATATCCTACTACACCAATCATCTTTATATGTACTTTAATGTATATAATGTATAAATGTATTAGGAGTGACCTTATGATATGAAATCTGCTATATATAGGGATGGGGGCACAACAATATATTGATGCCAATTTTAGACGACAGCTCAAAGGAAATAATGATAAATTGAATGATGAAAGAACAATAAACAACAAGTTTTACAACGCACTTGTTCTCCCGGTTTGGGAGGTGGAGGAACATATGACGGAGCCATGGGATCCACTGGACCTGGTGTAGAATCTGCTGATGACTTCTTCCCCGATTTCTTCTTCCCTTTCTTGCCCTTTTTCCCCTTTCCTTTCTTTTTCGGCATGTTTCTTTTCTAATTGCAAACACCTGCTCAAGAAAAACAATTAGCCGCCATTTTGACGCTTCTTTGTTGTTAGATGACGTCAGACAGAATTAAACGTTTTGATTGGCCAAAAATATGAAATTGGTGCGTTAAATAAGCACGTTGTGAGATTTACAAAGAACCAAACTCACGTAGTGTAAATATTACGGTGTTTGCTGCACGTGAATTGTGCATTGTAAAAAAACAAGGCAGGTAATTGTTAAAGGTATGACATGATTTTAAGAGTCTTCGCGAACTATTTTAAGGAAATTTGTTTTTTTAATTGCCCTTCTGTTATGATTAATTTAAAGCTGAAGTAAATAAGATATTGGTTGTTGAAATAATTCAACATTTTATGTTTCACGTGCAGCACAGATCACTTCCGCCTGTGAAACTGTTTTATACAGCATAATACTGTTACACCAGTCATTTGTATCCACTCAATTCCATATTGGGATTTAAGAGTTGAATTTAAGATCAGCAAACGCCCAGTGAAGGCCTAAACCTGCAGGCTCATTCTGTTTTTGTAACTAATAATATGAAAAAGGCAAAGCCTCAAAGCGAGCTTGATGTACTTTTTACGTGAAATAGTATGAAATAATCGCTCATTTTTATTTCAAATGCAGTAACGAGTGCGTGTGAAGTCACACGTACTGTGTTAAATATGGCTCCGCCCCTGTCGTGAAATGAGTAACTGGGATGTACTATAACTATGTTCCAGTGAATAACGAGTATAAAACTTTGTTTATTTTATTTCACTCTATAATTTTTCAAGCGAAATAAAGATTATTACAAGTGAAATAAATGTAAAACTTAAAACGTTTGCGACATTAAAATAGCGTACTTGATTTGTTTGTTTTTCACGTGCTGTTTGGCGCTACATTGTGACGTCACGTAAACAATACTTTAAACGTCTGTACAGCGTTAATGACTGAATAAAAGATATTGGTGTTCGGATCCATTTTCTTAGTTAGACCATTTTCTTTCATTCTAGATAGTTTTCACAACAAAATTTGACAAAAAATTGTTTTTATTTATCAGATTTTCAAACAAAATGGCGTCTTCGATTTTCATTTTTTATACACAGCTTCCGTTATTCTGGTTCCCTGTCCAATTATGGTTCCCATAGACGTGCGCGGGTGACCAGTCTACACATCCGTTTTCAGTCAGAATTCCTCAGTTTTTATCGTTATCTTTCAAGTCGAAAGGTTGCGATGTGTCAAATTCGTTACTTTAGACGAAAGTTTTCAAAACCATCACTTAGCAGGTACTCGCGTTACCGTAAAGCTCGCTTTGCGAGCAGGCCCTTTGGGCCAGCTCGTCGAGCTCGCTATGAAACAGGCAAAGCCTCAAAGCAAGCCGTGAAATTGTATAAAATAATAGTTTTTATTTTACATTTTCTATTTTAAAACTGTCATTCGGTATTTCATACGCTGTTTCCATTTATTCTGGTTCCCTGTCCTATTATGGTTCCTTTGAAAGTGCGCAGGAGGACACCTGAGTCTACGCATTCGTTTTCAATCAGAATTCCTCTTTTTTTGTTGTTATCTTGTAATTCCAAACGTTGCGATGTGTCATTTCAGTATATCCTACGAAAGTTTTCAAACCATCACTATTTAGCAAGTACTCTCGTAACCGTAAAGCTCGCTTTGCAAGCAGGCCCTTCGGGCCAGCACCTCGTTGAGCTCGCTATTAAAGTTTATATTAATGAGTGACTGGGTCCAGAGCTCCAGATAGGGTGTGTAACAGCTAAAAATACTTAAAGAAAATCCAAAATAAGCACCAGTTTCAGAATTCTTGCTTCACTGTCACTGTCAGTTTCGGTATGCTTGAATGTTAAAACTTGTGCGTTTTATTGTTTGATATTTCAAAAGGAGATGTTTTCAAATTAATCTGTTAAAAATACAATATATTTAACCTTTATTGAATGGAAAACTTAAAAAAAACTGCTGTCAACAACGTCATTGTGTGTTGAAAATGAAAGTAGGAGGAAGTGAGATATATACAAGTATACTAAGAATATTTACAAAGGATGGTGTTCTGAAATTATTGATGAAATTAATGTGGCAGGTAATCATCATAGGAGTTGACCTAATACTAGGTTTGTTTAGACAGACATTATTTTGATATAGTTTTATAAGAAGAATCCCAGTCAGTCTGATTTATTCAGTGGTATACCTACCGATATGACAATACGCACAGGCATATAAAAAGAACAGTTTCGAAAAAAAAAAATTTCAAAAATGAAATCAATAATTTCGGCGTGAATATGTCAACATATTGAATTTCGTAGCTACTAATTGATTTGATTCTATAGGTATGCTTAGGATATTACTTAATTCGAATTTGTGTTACCTATTTTGATAATATGTATACAATCAAAGGTTATGAGAGAGGGAGTAAGCACATATAATCAACTGAATTATAATACTTGGGTATCTAAAACATTTTGGAGATGATTATATCATTGTTTCAGTCTGAATCCGAATAACGAAAGTTATTAAGGAGTTATGGTTTGAATATCTTAAGATTCCTTTGCGATTCTATTAAGGATGATACTTTTTAAACTTAGAAAACAAAATGTTCAGCTTTTCTACAGAGCCTCGGAGGGATATACACAATGCAAAAATATGATTGGAAATTTCTCTTTTATTTAAGATAGAGTTATGCTTTGAATAATCAATGTTATAATGGTTATAAACCTCGTAAAAACCAAATTAATGATAAGAAAATGTCCAATTTATTACACTCACATTTCCTGCAAAAAATTAATGAAAACTGAACATTTATTTCATTTGTTTTACATTTATATGCAAAATTATGTCTTGCCTGCAACTTGGCGTATGTTGCACAATGGAAGCGATGTGACCATATGAAATTCATTTTTATATTTTACCTTGTAGTTTTAAGTCAGTTTATTATTTATATGTTAGTAACATTCATTCATCTTATACTCATTTCAAATTGTGTAGAATAGTTTTGGCCCTATGAGCGAACCATTGAACACGTCTATGGTCACAAACTATACACAACTTTTGTTCATTTGACCGTAAAAGAGAATATTTACAAACTATATCACTAAAGGAATTTATTTTTACTGTCTTATTTAATTGAGTATAGAAATATATTGCATACTTTTGAAAACAATGACACATATTCTTTATTATACGTAGTATCATCTATACATATAAAACATAGATAAATATACAAAGGGAGCGATGTATAGCCATAATTATAATACACATCATGTCCCAGTCTTTTATTTTCACTGACTTTAGATGACAAGTTACGGTGAGTTTGTTTATACCAAATTGCTATATATATGTTGGAGGCATTTAACTTTGTTATGAAATAACTTAAATATTCCAATTGAAAATTGAAAGAGTAGAGCTGAGCAAAAAAACTGTTGAAGCAATAATTATTTTCTTCATTGACATACAGTACGCTCAGCGCGGCTTTTTCAAAACCCGCGTGACCCCGCGGATGAGGTTTACCGCGGACGAAAATTTGCTCAGATATTGTCCGCGTGACCCCGCGGACGGAAAATTTTCACCACCGCGGACATTAATCGGTGGCTGAAACCGTTTCCCCCGCGGAACGCAGTGGTAAATTGCGGAGGAACGCGGCGGTCAAACACCGGTCAACGCGGTGGAAACCTTAAATTTTAAAAATTAATTACTGTATTTAAACATCAGTATACATGTATGTACGTACATGTACTGTAACATGTACTGTACATATACATGTAACTATATGTAAAATGTGTTTGTTTTCTTTCTTTTTTGTTGTAATAAAAGTACATGTACAAATGCAGTGTTTTTCTTGTTCATGTTGGGTAATGTATAATATGTCTTCGACATCAAGATAAATCATTGTCGTCGCAACTTCATGGTAGTGAGAAACTTGAAGTCAAATAATGAAAAATTCGGCATATGACATTTATGAAAAAGATACTACAACAATTTATATGCCAGCTTTTGTTTCTTATTTAAAAACTTTGAAAACGTGACCCTCAACAATTTTATTCAGGCAATATTCCAGGACGTCTCTTTCAATTGTTAGATGCGTTCTACTGTTTCTGTTTATTTGCATGTTGATCATAAAGTCTTATATTTTATTTGGAACATTAAAAGAAAGCGTTTATTTCACCAAAATATACATTAAATGATATTCTTGATTTATCTAATTACAGGTGTGTATGTTTTGAAGTTTGTATCAACTGTTGAAGTTTATTTTCATTTTTGTTTTAGTAGTTTGTTTGCTTGTTCTTTTTTATTTTTTTATAGATATTTTTTGCAGAATTTTGTTAAACTTGTATTCACACTCATCGACCTCTTACAGGACATGTACTGTAGCGTCAGTCATCATTGAGAAAACAGCACAAATGTCCTTTTTTTACTAAGTTTCATAATTATGGCTCCCATATAGTTTAACAGCAATAATACTTATAGAACCACAAGGAATGAACAAGTAAAGATGACAGTTATAAATGACGATTTCAGTTGTAAAAATATTGGTATGTGGACAAATAGTTTTGTGGACGTTTATAACAAAAATATCAAAAACAACAACAAAAACAGGTACAGCTGTAATTATTTTTATTTCAAATTCCGTTCAAATAATTTAACGTATAATAACATTTAAGGCGACAATTGTGGTCAATTTTTCAAGTCATTGTGTAAAAAAGATGACGTTAAAAATAATAAAACGTCTATTATTTTTGGAGGTTAATTTATACTGACCAACTGACCATGGCGTTCCACCGCGGGAAACGGGTGACTGATTTTATCGATAAATGAAGAACGGTCGTCAGAATTTTGTCCGCGGTGGAAACAACTGAACACCGGGGATCGCGGGGAAATTAGGCTTCTCATCGCGGACGAACCCCCGCGTTTGTCCGCGATAAAAAAAAATCGTCCGCGGTGGTATCGCGGAAAAAGCAAAACCCGCGGTGAGCGTACTGTAATATGCTTTAAAGAAATATTTTTAAGGGACCTAAATGACCGCAAGATACTACATTTTACATGTAAATACATTAAGTTATTGTTACATTAAATCATTCAAGCTGTTCTGTTGGCATTATCGTCATACAGATCATATTTAAGCATATTTTCCTTGATCATATCTCATGTTAAGATGAAAAGAAAAAAAGTAACAAAGAAAAAAAGCATATTTAATAAGGAAATAAAGTCCATCTTGACTATAATAGAGACACCTGGCTATGTTTTGTTTTTCTAATAGTAAAAACTTTTGAACTACTTAAAACAGTGTACACATGCAATTTCTCCTTACATCCAATACATATACATGTACTTCAATGATGTTATTTTCATAACTACTGAAGACAATATAGTACAAATAAATGACATTTAATTGCTTAGATATTTCCTAAATCCCTGGTTATAGTACACATCTATATTTGATATATATTTCGGCCAAAGATCTGAACTCGACGTATACTCAAATTAAGCTGAGGTTACGTATGCTATTATATGAAGGCAATGTGATTTATTAGACAAAACGAAAAATTCTTTATATTAATTTTACCACTGATAACATCTGTGTCTCTGATTTTACACATAACATTTTTCAGAAAGTGCATTTTATTCCTCACTCTTAATTTTAAGGGGCAAAATTCCCTTGGCCAAATAAATTATTTGGAGCTCTGTAATAGAAAAATTACTGTATAAAATATAAACAGTGATAAACATATGGGTCTTATAATTCCAGGAGATTGCAGTCTCCGGGATTAGACCCTGATGCATAATTTTCAGGATAAAAAATCCCGGAGATTGCAATCTCCCGGATTAGACCCTGATGTATAATTTTCAGGGGAAAAGTCTTAAATAAAATAAACTAAAGAAAATGGAATGAAAATTATATAGTTGAGGCGCATCATGACAAAACCAACGTAATGCGTTTGCAACCAGCATGGATCCAGACCAGCCTGTGCATCCGCGCAATCTGATCAGGATCTATGCTGTTCGCTTTAAAATCCTATTAAAAGTAGAGAAACTGATGGCGAACAGCATGGATCCTGATCAGACTGCGTGGATGCGCAGGCTTGTCTTGATCCATGCTGATGGCAAACGCATTACGTTGGTTTTGTCATGGCCCAGCTTATATAATTATACTCCTGGTTTAGGCCTGAGGATCTGTTCTACTGGATCGACTGGAGATAGATAAATTTATCCGACCAGGCTTTATTTAATTGATAATATACTAAAGACAGTAGCAGGATAAAGCTCTCAAACTCTACCACTTGTACTGCTTGGGCACTTAAATATTTTTTCCTCATTGAATTAATGAACAGTGTTGTAATGTACTTCAAATATGTGTGCATATATAAAGGGAGGGTTTCTTTACGAATATAATTAGCTAGCAATGTTTAAGTAATATCATATACTGGTACTGTACTTAAAGATCTTGTATGTGCTGTAATTAAGGTTACCACACTAAGTGAAATTTTATATATGTATATAATTATGCTTCTAAAACAATTTTCAAACATTGAAGAATATGTAAAATATGTACTGCAAATATGTGTCCACATAATATGTAATCATTGAAATAAATGCATTTATTTCTTATTGAAAAATTTGACTTAGACTTTATAGAAATTTTTTCTAATTACCTCCCTTTATTAACATAAAATGTAAATGCGGTAATAACTTTACAAATAATTGTTTTTGGAACTTACAATATTGATTAATCTTCATTTGACAATTAAATTTATGATATAAAACCATAAAAAATTTGTGTAACAGGATCTTTAATGTGACAATATCAAACTTATCTTGCATATATCATCATACTCGGCTATGACTAAAAAACTAAACTGCACTTGTTACAATTAAATTTGTTTTGTTTTTTCATAAGATGTCTTTAAAAGTTCTTGTGGTGGGTGGAGGTGGCCGTGAACATGCGCTATCATGGAAACTTGCACAGTCATCAGAGGTCAAGGCAGTTTATGTTGCCCCAGGAAATGCTGGAACCGCAAAATGTGGAAAAATTGATAATGTTGGTGAGTATTTAATCACTTAGTTTTTGTTTGCAATTATGCAATATATTTATAGCTTTTGTTATAATTATAGAAATATGTAAAAATATAATTACTAGTGATAGTTTTTTTTTCCATAATAATTTCAGAGCTATAATTACCTTGACTATACAAAGTTATATAATTATGGAGAGCTGTCCTACTTTTTACATAGTTTTGTCTTCCTTTACTGTGTCCAGTATTTAATAAGTTGAGCACACTGCCCGACCTCTGTAAATGTCCTGTTTTATTGAACACTGTAGACCCCCACTTTGCCGATTAATAGTATAATATAAGTACAGTATAATTATCACATTCTACAGAATCACAGCTAGGATGGACAGTTGTTAACTGTTGTTGTCAACAGTTTGTGAATTTTCTGGTTACTCACATATTGCCTTGTAGATGTAATGAATTTAAAACAGAAAATTAAATGTATCTTAAAGGCACATTATGTCTCAGAAACAAATAAATTTTTCTCAAGAACGTTGAAACATAAATTTTGTAATGCTTTAATAATGGTTTTATTGCATTTTAGATGCTTGGTATCGGAAGAAAAGTAGCACAAAATATGAAATTATTCAGTCATATATTCCCATTTAAAATAGTATATTAGTATATTATTTTCCCAATTCACAGGAAAAATGTCCTAATTGAAAGTTAAAAAATTAAAAATATTGAACAACAAATTCTATATTTTTTTCTAATTAGGGCCTCTTCACTGTTATAGTACTTAAATATTTGAAGATGCCATCCTAAACAGTGATTCTTTGCATTCATTTAATCATTGCAAAATTTCAGTTGTGTATTTTTTCCCTAATTTTTAACAAAACACCACTGAAAAATTCCCAATTCCATGGGTATGTGTCATGTTCCCAAAGTCCTGGAAAAAAAAAAGCCAGCCATTTATCTCTTTAAGTTATTTTCATTATAACGTTTATGTATAATTAAACAACTATTATTTTCTGGCAGAGATAAATGTGAAGGACTTTGATGAAGTAAGTAAGTGGTGTAAAGACAATGAAGTATCTATGGTAGTTGTTGGCCCGGAGGACCCGCTAGCTGCTGGGATCTCTGATCATCTTACTGATGAAGGTATAGTATATTATACAGTCATATAGAATGTTTGTTTGTTTGATTGGGTTTTATGTCACACCGACACAGTATAGATCATTTGGCGGTGTTCAAGCTTTACTGGTGGAGGATTATCTCGGGTGCCCTTCCGTGCATTATTTCAGGCACCCGAGTAGAACCACCGATTTTCCGTAAGCTAGCTGTCTAGCTTCCTCACATGAAAGAATTTAGAGTACCTGTCGAGATATGTGTATGTTAATACTGTTGAATATATAATTATTATATATTTCATAATATGTACTGCAAAGGGTTTCCATATTTTGTTAGGCCAGAAGAAAAAAAAACATTATATAGTCCATTTTGTCAGAGACAAGGAAGTGTCTTTAGGAACATGTTTTTTCCCTTTATATGTTAGCAGGGCATGAGATAATAGATGAGTAGGTTGAAAATGTCACCTTAGCTCTATAATCTTCACCAATTTCAAGAGAAGATTATCATTAATGCCACCAAGTTTTAAAGAATGATACAATCAGAGAATAACATTTTCAATGATTTTTTTGGCGTTGTTTGTACTAACAATCTTAGATGGTGTGATTTAGTAATAGATGGAAGTATTCCGATTAATTCTTTGCATGAAATTTGCATGAATATCAGCTCATGGAATTATTATTTTATTTGTAATCTGAGTGTAGTACTTTTACAATATAATGGTATTATAAGAATATTTTAGATTTGAAACTTGTGTTTTACATGAGGGAGTTTTATGTGTGATGTACATTGTGTGATCTGTCTTTATGAAAATCATGAGGTTCAAAAACAAATTATAGATCAAAATACTTGTACACCGAATATTACATTATAATAATCTCGTGTATAAATTAGGCACAAGATCTAAACATAGTAACATCGCTGTTACATCAGCAACATTGTTTTTGATCATACGAAATAAATGCAGCGCCATAACAAAACCAACATAGTGTGTTTGTGACTGAGCATGAATCCAGACCGGCCAGCGCATCCCCACAGTCTGATCAGGATCCATGCTGTTCGCTATCAGTTTCTCTACTTGTAATAGGGTTTGTAAGTGAACAGTGCGGCTCAAATTTTCTTCCCATGTGGTTGTATATAAACATGTGTCAATTGGTCATTATAGTTAGCTATGTACATTAGTTTCTTTTATGAAATATGTTGTTTAATGCCTTTACTGTTGTATAACTAGTAAGCAACGTGTACTTATTTATTACTCTATATGGTAGAGCTGTCATTGATTCAGTGCAAAGCATATTGCCAATACATCAATATCGGATGACCAATATCGGTGATACATCAGTATATTGATGAATATTCCTAATTTCTTGTATAAAATTCACATTCATACCTGTTTAAAGTTTTTAGTAAAATACATGTTCTGGTCATACAAATATGTTGTGTCCTGTTTATAAATGTCCTTTGCATGTTTTTTTTATGAGCATTTTTTATCACCACTGCAATGAAGTGTGTCCATTTTGTACCAACAGCTTAGTCCTTGACATGGCCACCTGCTTTTGTATATGTTTTGGGTGAATTTTTATAATTTATGGACATTTAAATAATTAATCAAAATTTTTGATTTTCAAATGCATATTGATTATTGATCAACAGAAAATTATCAAGGATACATTGATATTGTCTCTATCGATGACGGCTCAACTGGAAGGACTTCAATATTTTGATATTATTTGATACCTTTAAACAAACTGTATTCCTTATCTTTTCTCAAGGTATAATGTGTTTTGGACCAAGCCAAAAAGCATCTCAGATAGAGTCAAGTAAAGAGTTTTCAAAGAACTTCATGAAAAGGCACAATATCCCTACAGCTAGATTTTCCTGTTTCACAAATACAGAAGATGCTATAAACTATATAGAGAGGTATTTATGGGCTGGGTGGGGGGTTATGTTTGAAAGATGTCTTACCCCTTACCACGATAAATATCTTTAATGGACTTGTCAGTCTTTCAGTTTGGATGAAAATATTCATCATTCAAGAGAAAAATTCTAAATATGTACTGGCTGAATAGTGTAAAGTGCAGACCATGTAAAATACAGCACAGATATGTTGGCAGATCTTGGTCTATATCTTTGACCTGTTGTTGGTCAGCATGCGCCTGTTTATCCAACTTGATGCAACATTTAAATAAATTGTTAGGTAGAATATATTGAAGTGAGTTTATGAGAAATAGAATGGCAGAACTTTTCTTATTGAAGCAATTGAAATAATATGGCAAAGACTTATTATAGATGTGTGTCTTTAATTGCTTGTCAATCCAATAATGTGTAACTTATAAAAAGACTTGGTAAGATGTTTGCATACCTGACACTAGTAGGCTTTTCATGAAATAGTTAAATTGTTTAAACTTGTTGTGTTCCTCTCATATTAGTTACTTTAGTTATGTTTGTATATAATTATGGTACAATATATTTGATATTACAGCGCAGACTTTCCGGCTTTGGTTGTGAAAGCATCCGGGTTGGCTGGTGGGAAGGGCGTTGTCATTGCAACCAATAAGAAAGAGGCATGCCAAGCTGTTAGAGAATGTTTACAGGTACATTAGCGTTATTAACCCTGAAGGAGTGATAATTTTCAATCAATGTGTTTTCTTCCTGTTTACTTATTAAAACATTTTAGTCAGATACCGTTAATCAAAAAGCAATTCGTGATTTTTGTGGGATAGTAAGTCGCTTAAATAAGATATTGTTTAATGCTGATGTAATACCCACTCCTTCTCCTCCGGAAACATTTTGCTTCCGTTTGTCCTACGTTTTTCCTTGAAACATTCTGGTTTCACTTTATGAAAACTTTTTGTTTTTTTTTATCCCTCAACATTCTTAGAAATGGTATGGCTTCATATGCCCTTCTTATTTCCTTGAAATTTCATCAAAATATTGCCACATAGAAACATATCTGCAAGCATAACAGGGGAAAAGTGTTTACAGGTACAATGGAAAGGTATATCTCATTGCAATTGGCAAATATTTGCCTGGAACATGGTATAGGTTTATTATTCAAACAATTGAAATTATTGAAAAGTATAACAATTTCATAAACACATCTAACAAAGTGACTCATTCAACCGTATACAAATTTTACATGATCACCCAATCTGATAGCTATCTGAAAAGATAAAACTATGTTTTTAGATCTGTATCCAAAGGGGCATATTTGAATTAGTGGCAACAACTCAGTTTTAACCGTTAGATTGAGGTTTTGCTGCAGCCCGCCTAGAGTTCGGTCTCTCTCTTTTAAAATTTGGTTAAATTCATACCTAAAATCTTGCCTTCTGGTCGCCCGTAGTGCAGTCAGAAGCACTCTTTTACCAGTGTATAAACGGTGTATCCAACGAACAGTTCAAAAATGCTTTTCCCGAATAGAGTCTGAGGCTAGTAAAAAGTGTACAGGTCCATGTTGAATATTTTGAAGGACTCTACTAATCATTTTTCACAGATATGACTAATTTATAAAAAGACACTGCTGTTGCCATTTGTATTAAACTATGCCCCTTGTATTTCACTCCCTACCTTTCCTGTAACTAATTTCAGTACAATAAAGCAGAAGTATAAAGAAAACTTTTTTGTTATTTTAGGAGAAGAAATTTGGTGGAGCCGGTGACACAGTTGTTGTTGAGGAGTTGTTACAAGGTGAAGAAGTCTCTGTAAGTATACTGCAAAATCATTATGTTTTGCGGGAATTAGATTAAATATTCATGGTTTTAGTGGAAGGGTCAATCCAAAAGTTTAAGATCCAACAAAATTTGATTTCAACTGCTGTAAGATTATTTTGCATCCTGTTATTTATGTTTTACGTTTTGAGAAAAAGAAACAACAAAACTGTCTGTGAATTTAAGAACCCATGAAAATGTTCTTACTGTCAAAACCATAAGATTTAATGCCCACAAAATAAAGTGAATTCACAGTACTTAAATGATAGGTGTCTGGTACTGTTACATGGAGTTGGTGACAGAAAGCCTATATAGACAGTCGTTGTCTGTTCTCTGGTTATTATGTTTGTGTTAAAATTATGTCTGAATATGGTAATTATTCCCCTATAGGTTTTACAGGAAGATATTTCAGGTATTTCCATCCAACTGTCTCTTATTGCATCTGTCTGAAGAAATTTGAAGTCAGTTAAAACTCAAAATGTGCTAGATTGATGATACTTAGTTTGTGTATAGAAGACCATAATTGAGCCGCGTCATGACAAAACCAACATAATGGGTTTGCCACCAGCATGGATCCAGACCAGCCTGCGCATCCGCTCATTATGATCAGGATCCATACTGTTCACTATCAGTTTCTTTACTTGTTATAGGGTTTGTAAGCGAACAGCATGGATCCTGATCAGACTGCGCAGATGCGCAGGCTGGTCTGGATCCATGCTGGTCGCAAACCCATTATGTTGGTTTTGTCATGATGCGGCTCATATGATGATATTGTGTATAGAAGTCCATATGAAGATTATGCATATCATTTAAAGTTTTTCACCGGTCTATTTGTCTGTCATCCTGTGTGTCCAAAGAAATTGGATCCTAACTTACAAAGTACAAACATAAAGCTAGGCTGATGATTCTTGGTATGTGAATAGAAGAACTTTAAGAATAGAGATTGTGCTCATCACTGCCTGTCATTAAGTCAGTTAGAAAAAATATGGATCGTTATTATGTCAGTCAGAAAAAATATGGATCGTCATTATGTCAGTCAGAAAAAATATGGATCGTCATTATGTCAGTCAGAAAAAATATGGATTGTCATTATGTCAGTCAGAAAAAATATGGATTGTCATTATGTCAGTCAGAAAAAATATGGATCCTGCCTTTTACTCAAAAGTTAGTTTGATGATACTTGGCCCAGATGGAGAATAAATTCATTTAACACATTATTTTATTTTTAAGAATAATCGAGCTAATGCAGTCACCCATTTGTCGGCGTCGGCGTCCCTGTGGTTAAGTTTTTGTATGTAAGCTGGTATCTCCATAACTACTGAAGGGAATGGATTGAAACTTCACACACTTGTTCTCTGTGATTATCTAAGATGATTGGCACAAATCCCATAACTCTGATTTGCTTTTTTTCATAATTATGCCCCTTTTTTCGACTTAGAAATTCTTGGTTAAGCAGTGTCTATTCTAGGAATTCAAAAATAGGGGTGATTTTCCCCCCTCTATTTCAAAAAAGGGGGCGATTTTCAAAATCAAGGGGTGCCAATATAAACTGCTACTGTTAAATCGTCTGCATTAAGTTTACACTGAGGCGTTCAACCGATGAAATATTTAAAACGAAAATATTCATTTAAGGCAGCTGAAGTTGACCTCCCTTTATTTATGAACGAAAACAAATTATTATAGAACTGTCGCGATTGATTATCAAGGGATTGACAATACAAACAATCGACCTATCTTTTACGTCTAGATCGTAGCCAAGCTAGGATTTCTTGATTATTTACTACACTAAAATGGCGCCCAACTGTCAGACCTAGCACACTAGTTCCGGTAGGTACAAAACATTCCGTTAATTTCCGTCAACTCACGTAACCAGTACCATACAGTACTAAATTATTATAATTAGCTTACAGTTACCTCCCTTCAGTTTCCGGTGTAAATGTAAACAAAACAACCAAATAAAATGCGAAATGGAATTATGCTTGCTAGGGATCACTTTATTTCCAGAATTTTTTACGATTTTATTAACTTTTTTTAGATGCGCGATTTTCACTCACATGATTTTGAATTGTGCGCAATCTTTGAAATATTAGCGTGAATCGCGCAATCGCGCGTCCTAGAATAGACACTGGTTAAGTTTTTGTATGTAAGCTGGTATCTCCATAAATACTGAAAGGAATGGATTGAAACTTCACACACTTGCTCTCTGTGATTATCTAAGATGATTGGCACAAGTCCCATAACTCTGATTTACTTTTTCGCATAATTATGCCCCTTTTTCGATTCATAAATTCTTGGTTAAGTTTTTGTGTGTAAGCTTGTATCTCCATAACTACTGAAGGGAATGTATTGAAACTTGAAGGGTTTGTACCTTTTCGGACAATTTTATGTATTCATATAGGTAAGCATTATTATACTCAATGAAACACCCTTGTGACAAATTTTCGAATGGTCGAGCGTTACTGTCCTCCGACAGTTCTTTACATTCTGTAAAGTTTATTTCCATGTTATTAGCTCTTTATTTATATGTGATCTTAGTTATGTCTGCATCATAAAATATATACTTGACTTGAGCAGTTTTTATAAATATTTTGTCCTTTACAATATCAGAATTGAAAGTATAGTACAGCCATTAAAATTTCGGATCAGAAAGAATACAATCTTTGTCCCCTGTATAGTTAAGTCAGCTGGTCCATACTTATAGTTTGTTCTAGCTCTGTATTCTTGGCTGACAACAGCATTTCATCTTGATATATCATATCCCCAAAATACATGTATATATAAATGAATGTAAAGTTCTAGAAATGAAAGTTTGTTCTAAGAATTCCAGCATGATCTTGGCCGATAATGCTTTTTACTTCTATATTTGAGCCGCGCCATGACAAAACCAACATAATGGGTTTGCGACCAGCATGGATCCAGACCAGCCGCGCAGTCTGATCAGGATCCATGCTGTTCGCTTACATACTCTATAACAAGTAGAGAAACTGATAGCGAACAGCATGGATCCTGATCAGACTGCTCGGATGTTCAGGCTGGTCTGGATTCATGCTGGTCACAAACTCACTATGTTGGTTTTGTCATAGCGCAGCTCATTTTATTGTTCATAACAGATTCTGGCATTTAGTGATGGCACAACAGTGTCTTTGATGCCAGCAGCACAGGACCACAAACGTCTCCTAGACAGAGATGAGGGGCCAAACACAGGTGGAATGGGGGCTGTATGCCCTTATCCAAAGGTAACTCATACACAAAAAAATATACACAACAACAAACTTAAAAGTAGTATCAGTATTACAGAACAAAATATTGTACTGAAGGGTTCTTATGCTACATATATGCATAAGGGCTACATATATATTATCCTTGTTCTAATGAAATAGAGTTATGACTTATTTAGTAATTCCATTACTTTGTGGTTGCAACATGTAAATTAGTTTCTTATCATGCTTTACATGTCTATTGCTTTGTCAATTAACTGTTATCTTTTGATAATGAACTAACTGTGCCAATCATTCACAATATGCTGATTATATGGCATGCTATACAATGATTATATGACATGCTATACACTGATTATATGACATGAATGACTCTGATTGTATGGCATGCAATACACTCATTATATGACATGCAATATGCTGATTGCATGCAATACACTGATTATATGGCATGCAATATGCTGATTATATGGCATGCAAGATGCTGATTATATGGCATGCAAGATGCTATTTATATAAAATGCTATACATTCATTATTTGGCATGCAATACACTGATTATATGGCATGTAATATGCTGATTGTATGGCATGCAATACAATGAATGTTGATAACATAGTATCCAGAGATTCAAAACTGGCAGCATATGCTTGTGATATGCATGTTCTTGGTTAATGTTAACCTGCTTGCACAGATTTTAAGCAAGGATAATGGTATGTCTATGCCAGAAGTCTTAATATGATTTATACATTTGGCTGCTAAGTTTTGTCTGTAGATGTATCCACTTCAGCTTATAATGAACAGTTCCAAATTCAAAAGGAGGACTAGTCCATTATATAAATATTGTGGTGTCAGGGTGAATAAACAAATTTGTTGGATTTTACAGGTTGGATTCTCAGACTTGAAGAGAATAAGGGAAGATATTATGCAGAAAACTATTGATGGTCTTAGAGAAGAGGGTATACCATATGTTGGTAGGTGTTTTGTTTGACACCTTGTCACCTGCTGAAAAGTAACCATGACACTTTCTATCTTGATTATTAAAAGAATATCTAGAGCTATTGTACACACATTTATGTCAGCATCACACTTTGTTTAAATCTTTTTGCATGAAAGTAAAATTGGTATCTCCAAAAACCTGAAGAGAATGGTACGGACCTTTACACACTTGTTCTCTAATTATCTAACATGACAGGTACAATTTTCATAACTCTTACGGTTTTACAGAGATATGTCGCTTTATACAGGAATATTCCAAATTCTCACAAAGGAGGGCAAGTCGCGACTCTAGTAACTTACAGATTTCTGGTTGTATGTGTTCCAGCCATGTTGCAGGCATGCTGTTGTATCTTTGGTCAAGTAACCATAAAACTGGTTGCTTAGTACTGGTTGGTCCCAGAAACAGATTCAGAAGTGTGTTTATAAGCTTATTATACACTATTATTTTATAACGGAGACAAAATTTTAGCAACCTTAAGGGTTTAATACATGTATTTTCATGTTACAGGTGTGTTGTATGCTGGACTGATGATGACAGACGATGGTCCAAAAGTTCTAGAGTACAATTGTAGGTTTGGAGATCCAGAGACACAGGTTAATACTATTTTAGTTTATGGAAGAGTGATAAGGGGTTATTTCACTGTACATAGACTTCATGGCGTGGTTCTGTCAGCCCAGAAATGTAAAGCAAATGATTTGATATTAGATCTATATTAATATCATCCCACTTATGAGGGTGAAAGGGCGAAATGTTCACCCGAGACAAGTGTTGTTAACCCAGATGTTAGCCTGACATGACTAACATTATCTCATCAAGCGTTAACATTTTGTTCTATAACTCATTATGGGACGTAATATTCATTGGTGGGATATGATATATATTTTTTATTATACGGAACAAACTGAGACATCTACCATCTAAAACCCATAACTTGTTATGTGGATAAGGGCCATTTGGTAATGTTAGCGGATCAGAATTGATGATGCCATGTGAAATCCGGCTAATACGGGCTATATACATGTTAGGTTTAATATAGTTGTATGTCTCCCCTAAGATAAAAAAGTAGTGAGCTAACATAATTGAATGATTGAAATAATAAAATACGATGTTTACTATTTGTCCGCCTACTTCCAAAAAAAACCCCAAAAAACACACACACACTCAGAAATTCTCTTAATTTTCAAGATTATCTGTTTAAGATATCAATTTGTGAACTTTGAAAAGTATCCATTAACAATTCTGAATATCTTTCAGTCCATTCTTCCATTGATGAAGACAGACTTGTATACAACATGTGAGGCCTGTGTTAAAGGTACCCTCAGTGATAATGTACCCGAGTATGATCTCAGTAAGAAAGTACTGGGTGTCGTACTGGTCAGTGGTGGGTACCCAGGTTCATATAAGAAGGGATGTACTATCACAGGTAAGATGTCTGAACAAGAATTTTAGACAAACTTTTTTATGCCCCCGCCATGTAATGGCCGGGGCATATAGTGTTACCCTGTTCCGTCATTCCGTCCTTCCGTCCTTCCATCCTTCCGTCCTTCCGTCATTCTGTCATTCCGTCATCATCAGTTTTCCGTTCATTATCTTAAGAAAGGTTGGGCACATTCAACTCAAATTTGACATATGGATATGTCATGAGAAAATACAGGTCAAGTTCGAATTTGGTCATGGTTCGATGATTTTTGGCAGAGTTATGCTCCTTTTACTTTGAAAATTATATGAAATTTCAGTTTCCGTTCATTATCTCAAGAACGGTTTGGACACATTCAACTCAAACTTGACATATGGATATGTTATGAGAAAATACAGGTCAAGTTCGAATTTGGTTATGGTTCGATGATTTTTGGCAGAGTTATGCCCCTTTTACTTTGAAAATAATATGAAATTTTCAGTTTCCGTTCATTATCTCCCCAACGGTACAACACAATCAACTCAAACTTGACATATGGATATGTCATGAGAAAATACAGGTCAAGTTCAAATTTGGTCATGGTTGATGATTTTTGGCAGAGTTATGCCCCTTTCACTTTGAAAATAATATTAAATTTTCAGTTTCCGTTCATTATCTCCCTCAAGGTACAACACATTCAACTCAAACGTGACATATTGATGCGTCAAAGGAATGCGCAGGTCAAGTTCAAATTTGGTCGTGGTTCGATGATTTTTGGCAGAGTTATGCCCCTTTTACTTTGAAAATAATATGAAATTTTCAGTTTCCGTTCATTATCTCCCTCAAGGTACAACACATTTAACTCAAACGTGACATATGGATGCGTCAATGGAATGCCCAGGTCAAGTTCAAATTTGGTCATGGTTCAATGATTTTTGGCAGAGTAATGCCCCTTTCACTTTGAAAATAATATGAAATTTACAGTTTCTGTTCATTATCTACCTAACAGTGTTACATATTAAATTTTAATTTGACATATGGATATGTCAAAGGAATGGGCAGGTCAAGTTGGAATTTGGTCATGGTTTGATGGATTTTTGGCAGAGTTATGTCCCTTTCACTTTGAAAATAATATAGATACATCTTAGGAATAAGCAGTTTAAGTTTGAATTTGGTCATGGTTCAATGATTTTAGACAAACTTATCTTTCCTGAATGTTGGAAAAATTTTGAACTTTCAGTTTCAGCACTCATTCTTTTAGCCATTATTTTGGCTACAAATATGCAATATGCTTTTTCTAAAGGTTAAGACTGAATAATTTCAGTGCCTTGAACGTTGTATGGAAATGGTTTGTGTTAACATTGAAAAGTTTTAAGGGCTTTGAACTTAAAATGAAAAAAAAAAAATTAATGCACCATCTGAAATTTTGGCTGCATGCGGGGGCATCCGTGGCATGATGACACATTTCTAGTTTCCTTTACTCATACTGGCTAAATTTATATATTAATAGATTTTTTTGCATAGAATTTGAAAGTTTTCATTGTTAATGTAAAGGAAAACCATGTTTACTCGAATGACACCAATAGCGGTTAGTAAACAGCGCATACATGGCCAAGTTTTTAAGTTGTTGGCTTCAACCAGTAGCCCCCCTGCCCCCTTCCCCCAGTGCTGTGTGTTTAAAACCTGTCCGCGATTTAAGATTCTTTCATGTGAGGAAGCTATCTAGCAAGCCTACGGAAAATTGGTGGTTCTACTAAGGTGCCTGTTCATGCCTGAAATAATGCCAGGAAGGGCACCTGAGGTCTTCTTCCACCTGTAAAGCTGGAAAGTATTCATATGACCTTTTCAGTGTTTGTGTGACCTAGGAACCACCAAAAACTACCAGGAAGTTGAAGTAATATATAGGATTTCGATATCAATGTACAAAACTCAATTAGATATTCAGGATAGAGTGTGGTCAATGGTACAGTTGTTAGATTGGATTTGCTTAAAACTGGTGCAGCATGCTATCATTATTCAAACTTTGAAAGGGCCAGAAATTGCTTGAGATGATTATCTGGTCTAGACTAAAACAAACAAATTAGAATTGTAAGTACCTATATATATATATTTGTAACTGTATAAATGTGTTATAGAAGGCATGTTATAGAAAGCATGCTAAAGTTTGTAAAATTAATTTGATGTAATTTTAACCTTTTAAGAATAGGTAAAGTTATCTTGAATATTTGTTTGTTGTTTGTAACATCACAGCTCATTAAATTGAATAAGTAACATAAGTGTGATAAAGAAATGGGGAAAAAAAGAGGTCTAAAGGTCCTATTCAGAGTTTAATTTTTAATTTTTCTGCCTTTTACTACCTATTCCAGGAATAGAAGAAGCAGAAAATCTTGGTATAACTGTATTCCATGCTGGTACTAGTATGAAAGATGATTTGCTGGTAACGAGTGGGGGTCGTGTACTTGCCCTGATGGCGATGGAGTCGAACTTTGAAACAGCGGCATCAGTGGCACAGAAAGGAGCTGAAATGATCAAGTTTGATGGAGTGTATCATAGGAAAGATATAGGATTTAGGGTTGTTAGTAGGTGAGATGCTGCTTTTAGTATTTTGACTACCCTCTGGTCATTGATGTGAGCTCTGTTTAAAGATATACTTTGCCCATCTTTGAGTAAAATAAATTTTCTCACAGAAATTTATGGAAGTCTATAAACTTGTTACTGAATATGTCTAATTTGAGTTAAAGGATGTATATACTATGTATTGGAAGCTGCAGTCCCTATTATTGGTCAAGTTAAGTTTGTCCTTTCTTTCAAAAAATGTGAGTTTAACAACACTATATATTCATATTGTGGCCTCCTATAGTGTGTCGACTTCAAACCGTAACATACATTCAATGTACTCTGTGTGTGAAGTCGATATATGTTGATTTTATAAATTATTTACAAATAGACAGTAAAGTAATTTTCAATATTTTCAAATATTAAATTTGAGCATAATGTATCTTTAAAGCATTGATGTTTGTTTTGTCAGTATTATAACAGTCAGGCGAGCACTCAGAGGTTAACCAGGTTCTTTTGATGTTAGAATTGTGCACTAGGTCATCTTCTGCCATATACTGTATGCTTAAAACTTGTTATTTTAGAGTCTGTGTGAAATGTAGCTCAATCACAAAAGTATTTATGATATACTTATTTCCAATTTTTCTGTTTCCCATGCCTTAAGCTGTCCATATTCAATATGCTTGAAAGAACAAGGGTCCACGTAGACAATAACATGTTCAACATGGGATTTTTACCTGGCTACCAGGTCGTGATAAAACACCCTTACATTATATAGATAATAAACCTTTATGTCTGTCTGTGAATTATTATTATTATATAATTATTTGTAAGAAAGATTGAAAATTCCAGCTGTCTGCTTGTATATACCAGTATAATCTGCTGAAAGTGGCAAAACTATGATGCTATGGTATTAACATATTTGATATGTTAACATTTTATGAAGGATAACAGAAATCAAGCCGGTATTTTAGGTTATGTATAAAACACATACTAAATAAACTTCTGACTGGTGCATCTAATTAATACTCCCATCAATGATTTATACAGTGTAAGTTTTATACATACCCCAAAATATTGGCTAAGTTATAAATTTAAGTGGGCACAGTTAAACTTAAAATCGGGCATGAAATGCAGAAAGAGTAGCGTAACATGCAGGACTAATGGAATTTAGCAGTCATTTTTGTAGGATGAGTGGCTCCCAAAATAATTATGATGAACTTTTAGAAATATGACCTTGAGATTTGTAAATGTGACCTTGAGATATGTATACTGTAATTGATGTAAAATTTGTAATATTTTCAGGTCATTACATACACCGCCATTAAGTTATAAGGATGCAGGTGTAGACATTGCTGCTGGTAACAATCTTGTACAAGCTATAAAACCTCTAGCTGCCTCATCTACAAGGTATATATTGTTAAAATCAGCTTAAAAACAAACAAATAATTGTTTGTGTACATAAAAAAAAGGTTATAGAATGAAATCAAAATTATAAGATAGCCAAATGTAAAGAAAAGATGGTGAATCCTTAATTCTTTTGATCATTGCTATCAATCCACATGATATGAAATACATGTATTATAAATATTTAGATCTGGTTGTATGGCAGCCCTTGGATCATTTGGTGCCCTGTTTGACCTCAAGGCTGCAGGCTTTCAAGATCCTATACTGGTGTCTGGCACAGATGGTGTGGGAACCAAACTTAAGGCAAGTATCAGATGTTAAGTTTTAGGTAAAACTTGATATGAGAAGTTGCAAGCACAGCTCCGATAGGGTTGGGGGGGGGGGGGTGATAGGGAAAAGGTGCCTCAGACACCTTGGCCTGTGGTGTTTTTTCCCCTATTAAATCAGGGAAATTCTTGGAAATTGTAGAAAAATGAAATTTTTAAATTGAGTATGTGAAAAAACATCAGAAACTGTTTTCTTAAGACATCAACCTGAATTTAAAACCCATGGCTTTCATATATTAAGTTTGAAATTTGTGAAATATGTAGAAGACTTGTATTTTAAAATGTGCACCTAAAATGCGCCAGAAGTCCCCATTCAATGTGCAGATTCCATTTTGTTGCCTTAGAGAGCATTTAAATTAATAAATGTGGAACTGGCAAAATGACTTGAAAAGATTCTCAATTTATCTCCCCTGGACCAAAATAAACCAATATGTTAAGTAATTTGAAGAAGCTTTCATATTAAGATATCTTTGCGACAAGAAGAGGCATGAAAAATGTGTGTTTTACTGCCTGCTTTTCTATCATGTTACTAAAAATAGCATTAAATCCTCTCAATGCTAGAAATATTACAGCAACAGAGCTGTACAACTAGGATAGAGCCAGGTCTCCTGGCACAGCCATAAAGTTTGAACAGGCTGCTTATTCTTCATATATTTTAGCTTGACTATTAGATAAGAATAAGTAGAGCTATTGTAGTCACCCGAGCGTCTGTGTTGGCGTTGGCGTAACCACTTATGTTAAAGTTTTTGTAATACCTCAAATATTTTCAAAGTCCATTGACATATGGCTTTGAAACTTTGCACATGTGTTCACCATCATGACCCCAACCTGTAGACAGGAGCAGGTAACTCTATCAAGCATTTTGACAGAATTATACCCCTTTTTCGACAAATATTTTCAAAGTCCATTAACATATGGCTTTAAGTTTATATATAACTCATATGGCAACTTTCCAGCTTATGTGGTGGAGGAAGACCCCAGCTGCCTCTCCTTGCATTATGTCACTGGCAGATTATCTAAGTAGAACCACTGACTTTCCGTCAGCCAGCTGGATAGCTTTCTCACATGAACGAATCCATAAAGTCCATAGCAGGATTCGAACCCACAATGGTTAGTGGTTTGAGTTCAGCAAGCTACTAATTAACCACTGGGCCATGTAGTCCTCCCTAACTTTTTGTAGTCAGTTATTAAAACCCCTTTTACAAATAAGAGGAAAGGTAGAGAATAAGGGGAATAAGGAATCTGAATTTTTCTTTGTATAAATGATGAAACGTGTTTAAACAGTAAACATTTCTGTTATATTTTAGATTGCTCAGGCCATTGAGCATCATAAATCTATTGGAATTGACCTGGTAGCTATGTGTGTTAATGACATACTTGCCCACGGAGCAGAACCTCTCTATTTCCTGGATTATTACGCCACAGGGCGGTTGAAGGTAAATGTGGCAAGGGATGTTATAGAAGGTATCACAGAGGGATGTAAACAGGCTGGATGTGCTCTTGTCGGTATGTGTACTCATTTCTCTTCTGTCTCATATATGTGTCCTCTGTATTTGGTGCAAGTTATTTGAGGAAACACGTACTTGGCTATTCATAATTTAATCCGGTTAGGTGGACCCACTGAAAAGCTATGACTAAAAACATTTGTTAAAATAGGTGCTAAAATCCAGAAAAACAAAACAAATTGACATAATGTTATGCATTCTTTTACTTTTCAAAGACATTTCATGCATTATTTTACTTTTCAAAGACATTTTTAATCAATAGAATATTATCATAAACATACTTTGTTATTTACCAGAAACTGTATAGAAAACATATTAAACTTTGAAATTTCATACATTTAGTAGAAGTATGTTATACAATTTTCAGTGTAGAAATCAAGTCTAAAGGTCATTTGTGTCTCAAAATTGATTCAGACACCATGTAGGATTGGTAGTCTGTCACTTGTGGAGAAACTGGAAATTGTGTGTTACAATCCAGGAAAGTTTGTTAGGTGAATCACCTGCTGAGATATGACTAAAACATGTTTTTAAATAAGCGCTTAAATCCTCAATAACAAACAAGCATTCATAACTTTATGCATCATTTTTCTATAATTTTATGCATCATTTTACTTATAAACTAAACCCGTGTGGCTGAGGGATTGCCTGTAATGGTTGAAGCAAAAGATTTGCAGCCCCCATTTATCCCTGAGTGATCGTAAGAGGAGACTAAATGAGCCGCGTCATGACAGAACAAAGGTAATGATCAGTCTGATCAGGATCCATGCTGTTTGCTTACAAACATTATTACAAGTAGAGAAACTGATAGCGAACAGCATTGATTCTGATCAGACTGCGCAGATGTACAGGCTGGTCAGGATCCATGCTGGTTGCAAACGCATTACGTTGGTTTTGTCGTGGCGCGGCTCAAATGGGTTAAAATAAATGAAGTCTCTGCATCTGTAAGCTCCAGCATGTGAGTTGGTTTTGACTCCTGGTGTTGCTTTAAAGTTTGTAACATCCGAGGTTAGCGAAAATCGTACTTGAAATTCCTGTTCTGGTATCATATAAACTATATTGTGCTTGTGCACCATAAAACCAAACAAACAAACACAACCTATTATTCAGGTGGAGAAACAGCTGAGATGCCTGGTATGTACCAGCAAGGTGACTATGATATAGCCGGGTTTGCTGTCGGTGCCGTAGAGCGTAACAAGATACTTCCCCGTGTTCAGAACATACGTGAAGGTGATGCCGTGATTGGACTGGGATCCAGTGGTCTCCATAGTAACGGGTTTAGTTTAGTTAGAAAACTTGTAGAGAAGTTGGAGCTGAGATATGATAAACCTTCGCCATTCAAAACTGGAAACAGTCTAGGTGAGTTACTTTAAAATTTGTAAATACTGCTAAAGTTAGTTATTAGAGATGTCATTTTTATCCGTTTAAAGGGGCATGGTCGGTTTTTAGCTAAAATCCAGTTAGAAAATTTCATTACCGGTTGTCGAAGTTAGTATTTGACAAATGGGGCGAATTTTTATTTAATTGGTTCTTAATATTATCTTAGTTTTTTGTTTGTATTTTGGTTGTACCAAACAATGTATTTTTTCCAATCTGATCAAATACAGTATGACCCTATTGGAAAATAGTTTATGTATTGTAATCATTTTGAGTACAACAAAATACGAACAAAATGGCATATCTTGTCATAAAGAAACAAAGTTAATGTTGGAAATCTAAGGATTTTTATGCTCCCCGAAAAAATTTCTGGAGAGCATATAGTCGCCGCCTTGTCCGTCCGTCCGTCCGTCTTTCCGTCCGTCCCCTTTTCTTGTCCGGGACATAACTTTGAAACAACAAGAGGTATCAACATGAAACTTTGTAGGTAGATAGATCTTATTGAGTAGGTGTGCAGTGCACAAGAACCGTAACTCTGCCTTGCCTAATTTTTGAATTATTCCCCTTTGTTTATTTTTACACTTTGAACTTTGTCCGGGACATAACTCTTTAATGTATAAGAGATATCAACATGAAACTTTGTAGTAGATAGATCTCATTGAGTAAGTTTGCAGTGCACAAGAACTGTAACACTGTCTTGCCTACTTTTGGAGTTATTGCCCTTTGTTCATTTGACACTTTTCAACTTTGTCTGGGACATTACTCTAAATTATAAGAGATATCAACATGAAACTTTGTAGATAGATAGGTCTCATGTGGTGGAAGTGCAGTGCTTAAGGATCATTACTCTGCCTTGCCTTATTTTGAAGTAATTGCCCTTTGTTTATTTTTACTTTTTGACTTTTGTCCTGGACATTACTTTAAAACTATTAGAGATATCAACATGAAACTTTGTAGGTAGCTAGATATAATTGGATAGAACTGCAATGCTTAAAGAACCTAAACAAAGCCTGGTCTAATTTTGGAGTTATTGCCCGTTGTTCATTTTTTTTATACTTTCCTGTGTCCAGAACCTTCTCGGGGAGCATCACCCGGTTCAACCGGTTCTTGTATTAGTAGGGTTAGTTAAACATTTAACACGGTTATTACGTTGTTGTTTAGACTCTTAGCATTTTTGGTACATTATAAATGTGACACGCCTATTTGTTATGTTTTTGATTCAATTATAATTATGAGTATTTAAGTAATGTATTCTTTTTTCAGCTTAAATGAAAAAGAGCATCATAATCCATTATTTCAGTTTCTACCATAATTAAAAATTTTGTTTAGTTTAATACCTGTTAAACAGTGTATCTGTCATAAACCAGCATGTTCTTATGTATTGAGTCCTCCCACCTTCCTACTTGTATAATATACTAGGTTTAGGTCCTGTATGAAACTTTGCATTTTTAGGTCAAGAAATTTTTATTATAAGAGAACTAAAATTAGCTACAAGCAACATCTTGTAAGGTTATATGGCACCTTAGTACACGCTGGTCAATGGTCTCTACTGAAGGTATTGGCCAGTTATGATCTTTATAGCTTTTATAGTGACCCTTACCATGCTATATATCTGAAATGAACTTGCTTGTCTTTTGATCTGGCCAAAACCATTTGAGCCGCGTCACGACAAAACCAACATAATTGGTTTGCGACCAGCATGAATGAAGACCAGCCTGCGCATCTGCACAGTCTGATCAGGATCTGCGCAGATGCGCAGGCTGGTCTGGATCCATGCTGGTCACAAACCCATTATGTTGGTTTTGTCGTGACACGGTTCATTTATTGTAAGCAGGAAAAATTTCAAAATGAGAGCTGATAGAATAGCAAACAGTGCAAACCATGATCAGATGGCACATCTTTGCTGGCTGGTCTTGGTCTGCACTGATAAAAGTGTAGATTCAATTGCTGCCAGCAGGATAATAAGTATTAAAATGTATCTTTTTCGAGTAGGTATAATCATAACAATATATATTATTGCAGGAGATGACCTTTTAACCCCAACCAGAATTTATGTTGATGGTGTTCTCCCATTGATGAAGACCGGGGACGTGAAAGCTTTCGCTCACATTACTGGAGGAGGGTTAGTGGAGAATATTCCAAGAATCCTCCCAGACGGTCACAGGGTCAGGTTGGATGCCAGTAAATGGAGCATGCCCCCAGTCTTTGGCTGGCTGGCAGAAAAGGTAAGTTGTGGAAGGAGAAATTAATTTTATACACAAATTTACCCATTTATTTAATGACTTAGGAAAGCAAATCCTTCAACTTTGATAGAGATTGAAGCTCGACTATCATATACATATTTAGGATCATTTAAAGTTAATTTGGTTTTTAAACTTCATTTTTTAATCAGAATACTGTATTGCTTGTCCATATTACAGTTTAAAGGGACTCCACTGAGGTTTTTTGAAATGGTGGAACTTGAAATATTTTTCCAGATAAATGTAACATTTGATGTAGGTTTAGACCACAAATCTTTGTGCAAATTTTCAGATCATTTGCGCACTTTGTTTTTCCAGAATAGTTATTCAAATTGTAAAAATATGAAACTCAAATTGTAAAAATATGACCAAAAATGATAGGTGTCCCAACTATTTTCACACAAATCGAGCTAAGAAAAGCATAAAAATACGATTTTCAATTTATTTCAAAGTATATTTCTTGACCATCTTTGCATATATTTCAGTTTAAAGTGTCCCAGCTCATTTATGTACGAAAATTCAAATTTTATGTTCTTAGGCTTTTAAACCTCAGCGGAGTCGCTTTAAGTGGTCAAATATATTATTTTGATAGGTCAATAATTTATCGTAAAGTTTCTTTGTTGAATTACTACTGAAAAATTAGTAACAGTACTTGTAACAGAGCGGTAAATGTTTTTAGTAAAAATATGTGTGAATTTGTTAAGTTTAAATAGGCTATGTGTGATTTGGAGGATTAAGAACAGCCACACTGATTGGCCAAAACAAATTGAATGCTAGAGGAATAGGTAAAGAAAATAAATCTGTATTTTTCAAATATTTGTCTATCCATGATTGTGATTTCAGACGTTTACATGTATATGTCCATACTATACATGTATGTATGTATGGTTGTGTATAAAAGTTTTATATATATGATTGTTACAGGGAAATATACCAGAATCTGAGATGGCAAAGACATTTAACTGTGGTATTGGTGCAGTACTTATAGTCGACCATTCACTAGCCAATCAGATTGTAGAACAGCTCTCTACCGGTGGTGAAACAGCTGCAGTGATTGGCTCTGTAGAGAAACAAACAGGTTTGCCAGTTTATACTAAAAATTTTTCCATCCTTACTTTTTCTTGCAGCACCTTCATTTTTAAAGTCATATTTTTGTCTTGTCTGCTTTTTGTTTAAAAATTTTTTTTTGGTTAATTTGTTATTGTTATGCAAAATCTTTAGCGTAGTATGTTGGATAATTTTATTACAGTTTAAAGTTTTATTTATTTCCAGAGGCTCGCATAATAAGATTTTATTCAACTTGTTCAATATATTTAGTATTAAATTTATCCTCTCTGTACAATGTCATGTATAGGAGAGCGTAGAGTGATCATAGAGAAGTTACAGACGGCTCTAATACAGTGCTGGAGACATGTGCCTGGTGTGAGCAGGAAGAAAAGAGTTGGTGTGCTTATCTCTGGATCTGGTATGTAGTTAAACAATCTCCTTTAATTTGATCTCTTTATTTAAGATTAACTACATTTATTCTAAGAATAGTGGCTATTCTAAAAATATTGTCACAAATGCCTGGTAAGAAATGTTATATGGAGCCATTTCTTTTGTTAATTTCTGTTGTTTTTTTTATAGAGGGCCAATGGTCCCTTACTCTATTGTTACAGAATGAATTCTATTGCTCTCTTTTGTTATGTTTACAGTTAGATTGCCCCCTTTCCCTATTTGGTTGCGCTACTCTTCTCACCCAGAGAATAAAGTTTTCCCTTCAGCTGCTTCTTGTACAAACATCATATCATGAACTAATAAAGGTTTTTGCTTTCATCTTAACACATGTCTTTGAGATCAAAAAAAGAAGTAGCTATCCAAGGCATGAAGCTCTGGCATTCATAAAAATCCAAGTTTGTGAAATGACATTTAGGATGTAGTCTGTATACCAATTATATATGGCTTTAAGGGAAACTGTCCACTTCGAAAAAAATTTATTTGAATTGATAGGTAGTCTTTAAATATAATGTTAGTTTACTAATATAGCATGTACTTTAACTTACTGCCTCTATTCGTCTTGTATACTGGTTTTATCACCTCTGAATTCAACTTAATTGAGACATTTCAGGTGCATGATTAATTTATTGTGACTGGCTGGCAGTCTTTGCAAGACAAACATTTATTTCACTGATAATTTAATAGTTGCAAGGATTGTGTACAGTTTTCATGAGGGAAGTATTTTCAGTGACTGCTTTGTAAAGCAAGTGTTTTTATTGGCAGTTTTACTCTTAAAGCATATATCCCCCTTGTGGCTGAGGTGTTGTCTTTAAGGGTTGAGGCATCAGAATTGCAGCCATCATTTATCTCTGCTTGATTGTAAAAGGCCACTAAATGGGTTTGAATAATTGGCGTCTATTGCATCTCATAACTCAAGCATGTTTGATGGTTTTAACCACTGGTGTTGATATAACACCCTAAGTTAGCCAAAATCAACTCTCCTGTTTCGACGCCATTTGACCTAAATTGTTTTGGTGCACAGTAAAAACCAAACAAAACAAAGAATAACATGTCTTATGGCAGTTTCTTCCCAGTTGCTATTACCATTATCAAGGATTTATTGTGTTTTGAATAAACATCAGGGCTCTCTGTTTTGTAGGTACTAATCTGCAGGCATTGATTGACTTCACTCGGGATCCCTCTAACTTCAGTGCAGCAGAAATAGTTCTTGTTATCTCTAACAAACCAGATGCTCAAGGTCTGAACAGAGCAGAAAAAGCTGGCATTGCTACAAAGGTTTGTAAATGATGACATGTCTGAATAGATCTAACTGTGTGCAATTAAGATTGTTCTTTTCAGAGAAAGTTGTCAAATATGCATGCATATGCTGTCCTTTATTCCAGTTATGTATTCTTTAGAATAAAATTATAGCAGTTGTTGAAAAGGAAATTGGAAATTATTGTCAAAAATTATCTTATTATTTTACCTCTTTTAATAAGTTAAAATAAGTTAAAAACTGTGTTGTTACTTTGCAGTCTTTTATGCCTTTAAACAAGGTAGTCAACATGCTTACTGAACTTCAGTTACAAGTTAAGAATATGACCCATAGCTTCTGAGTAGAACTACCAGCTTATCTATAAGCTAGCTGAATAGCTTCCTCATATGAAAAAATTCAAACTCCTAGCCAGGATTTGAAACCACAGCAGTGATGGAAAAGTGGTTTGAAGCCACTGATCCAAACCACTCGATCATTCTTGCCCACCCCCATCCAACCACATTAACAATTCACAAAATAAATGCTATAATCTATGTTCACATTATAACAGGTGATAAGTCATAAGAATTATGGAAGTAGAGAAGATTTTGATGAAGCTTTACATCATAGTCTGATAGCTGCTGGAGTAGAGATAATTTGTCTAGCTGGCTTCATGCGAATACTCTCAGGTAATTATATGTTTAAAAATACTCTTCATTTTTTGGTTTTTAGATGTTTAGAAATATCCTCTCATAAATACTCTGGTAATTACGGAAGATGTGGAAAAATATTTTCTCACAAATAAACTTTGGTGAACAGATATTTAGAAATATTCTCTCATAGATATTATACTTTGGTAATTAGATCTTTAGAATTTCATGTACATGTTTAGAAATATTTTCTCATATTGCTCTTTGGTAATTATAGATGTTTTTAATTAGAAACATTCTCTCATAAATACTCTTGGTAAATAGATATTTTGACACATTTTCTCATAAATACTCTTTGGTAATTAGAAATTTTGACACATTTTCTCATAAATACTCTTTGGTAATTAAATATTAGAAGATATTCTGTCATCAAAAGTCTGGTAATTAGGTGTTACAGATTCTATCATCAAAACTCTTGTTATAAATTCTGAGACGTTTTTGACAGATATCCTGCAATAGTTATAGTACATGTATGTACAAATATTCCATTGATCTTTGATGTTGTGATTTAACTGACCTCCTGTTTGAAGATATACTATGCTCAAATTTGATATTAGAAAATATTGATAATTGCTACACAGTCTTTTTGTAAATAAAAAGTAAAAATGTTTTGACTTAACAGAAAGTAGATATGTTATGTTTAAAACTCTACAGAGAATAAGTGGTCACAATTTGAATATATAGTGTCATTTAAAAAAACTGGCAGTTTTTTTAAGAATAGACAAACTTTACTTGACCCATAATAGGGAATGCATTTTCCAATGCATAGTTTATTCATTCTTTTATTCGAAATAGACATATTCAGTAAGAATTTCATATAAATTTCTGCGATTAAAATATTTTACTCAAGGATGAGCATAGTATATCTTTAATTTAATTAATGGTCTTAGCATTGAATGAGGAACTGTCCAGTATCATTTTGTGGGATTTTAGAATCAATATTATAAAATGTAGGCGGTAACAGTGTCGAGTGTACATGTAGCTATTGTCCCCACTAGTATACAGAGGGTAATTGGAGAAAAACTTTAAAATTTATGTTTTCTGTGTTAATTGTTAATAACCCATTGCTTTGTGTATGTCAACCATATTTAAAAGGTCGGAAGATTTCTTAAGACACTGGATTTTCTGGAAGATAAAATGTTGCTATGGAATCTTAAAGGGACTCCACTGAGGTTTGACTGGAAATATTTTTGTGCCCCCACGTTAGTGGCGGGCATTTAGATTTACCCTTGTCCGTCCTTCCGTCCGTCCTTCCGTCCGTCTGTCTGTTCACTTTTGTGTCGCAAGTAACTCAAAAAGTATTTGACCTAGAGTCATGAAACTTTACAGGAATGTTGATCAGCATGTGTAGTTGTGCACCTGGGTATTTTTGTCTGGATATTTTTAGTATTTTCAGAGTTATTGCCCTTGACTAAGTAAAAATTTGCAATTTTCAACTTGTGTCGCATGTAACTCAAAAAGTATTTGACCTAGAGTCATGAAACTTTACAGGAATGTTGATCAGCATGTGTAGTTGTGCACCTGGGTATTTTTGTTGGGATATTTTTAGTATTTTCAGAGTTATTGCCCTTGACTTAGTAAAATTTTGCAATTTTCAACTTGTGTCGCATGTAACTCAAAAAGTATTTGACCTATCTAGAGTCATGAAACTTTACAGGAATGTTGATCAGCATGTGAAGTTGTGCACCTGGGTATTTTCGTCTGGATATTTTTAGTATTTTCAGAGTTATTGCCCTTGACTTAGTAAAATTTTGCAATTTTCAACTTATGTCGCATGTAACCCAAAAAGTATTTGACCTAGAGTCATGAAACTTTATAGGAATGTTGATCAGCATGTGTTGTTGTGCACCTGGGTATTTTCGTCTGGATATTTTTAGTATTTTCAGAGTTATTGCCCTTGACTTAGTAAAATTTTGCAATTTTCAACTTGTGTCCCATGTAACTCAAAAAAAAATTTGACCTAGAGTCATGTAACTTTACAGGAATGTTGATCAGCATGTGTAGTTGTGCACCTGGGTATTTTCGTGTGGATATTTTTAGTATTTCAGAGTTATTACCCTTGACTTAGTAAAATTTTGCAATTTTCAACATGTGTCGCACGTAACTCAAAAAGTATTTGACCTATCTAGAGTCATGTAACTTTACATGAATATTGATCAGCATGTGCAGTTATGCACCAGGTATTTTCGTCTGGATTTATTTAGTATTTTTAGAGTTATTGCCCTTCACTTAGAAAATTTTTGCAATTTTCAACTTGTGTTGCAAGTTACTCAAAAAGGATTTGACATAGTCTTTAAACCTTATGGGTAGGTTGCTCAGCATATTTAGATTTGCACCTGGGGTTTCACTTGTGGATTTATCCAGTATTTGTAGAGTTATTTCCCTTGACTTAGTAAAAAGATTGACAGAACAGTGGCGCGGTGGGGGCACCCGTGTCCTATGGACACATTTCTAGTTCGAGATTAATGTTCCATTTGATGTAGGTTTAGACCAAACACTTATGTAGACAATTTCAGATCATTAGCTCCCTCCATTTTCCAGAAAAAGAAATTTATGTGTGAAAAGCGTTGTAGCTCTTTTTACTTAAATCGGGCTAAGAATATCACAAAAATCTGATTTTCAATATATTTCTTTGTATATTTTCTTTTATATCTTTTTGCATACCTTTCTGTTTTAAGTTCCCCAGCTGAACTGTAAAAGAAATTCAAAATTTTGTTTCTAGGCTTTTGGACCTCAGTTGAGTTCCTTTAATACTCCCAATAACATTTTTTTCTCACTGGTTTCATGGTTTCAGCAGATAAGTGTTTCAGTTTTTTATTTTCTATGAATATTCATGAGATCACGTAATAAATTTCTTCCGATATATGTGATGTAACTCTGCTTTATATCAGTGGTGATTTTAGTATTCATGAAGTCAGACAGTTCCTTTTTATAGAGTGTTGTAACATGGCCAGACTTGTTTACATCATGTAATAAAACTAAAACACATGTTCTGTTGCAGCTATTATGTACAGACAATTTCATGCCGTTATTTGCATACCATTACCACACAGAATTTGTATAATAAACTTTTGTCAGTGATTCTTTTTTTCCATTCTCGAAACAACCTGTGGCTGTCTGATAGGGGAAAAATAAAGCACATAAATCAGAAAAGGGGGAAAACCTGAAATGAAATTTCAACAACAGAGCGTGGAATTTACCTACTGATTTGATAAAATTTTCAATTTAAATTCAATGTAACATGCATGGTACATAGCAGAGGCTATCTATAGGGACAGCTTTCTGTCTGTTTAATTAAATCAATAAAATTTATCAACTAGCAGAAGCCAGCTGCTTTTAGGTTGTGGTTCTTGTGTACAATGTGGGCATGGCATTTCAGGGGAAAATATATTTATGTTTGGGCTAGGGGAAACAGCCTTTATTTGGCTGTAAAATGTAGGCCTGGGAAAAACACTATTTTAAAGGTACATTATCCCACCGAAATTTGAAATTTATATTAAATTGTTCTTTCTGTATAAATGGCAAACAAGTTTGTTTTGTTAATGTTGTAGTAATGGATTTAGAACATGTAAGATGCCTATCACATGAAGAAATAGGAACTGAATAAATATGAAAGAATTTTTTGATAAAGGTAGCAAATTGTAAACCAAGAGGTATTTTTACTTCCCAACAAAACTACTAAATCACTATAAATGTGTGTATTGCTAAAATGCAAAAGATGGCCAAACAAAACAGCCAATGTATAACATTTTTGAAACTGAAACAGGACACCAAAAATAATAAATTAAAAAAAACCAAAACAGTTTTAGGCCTTATGAGCCTTTAAGTTTGGAATTATTCTTTGGTGATGATAAGAATTGTGATATTACTCTTGTTTTGTTCTGATATTCCAGCAATTTAATCATCACCTTAGTGCAGTAATGGGTTAACTCTTATAAATATTACATAAAGAGTTAACCCCTTACTGTACTAAAGTGACGTAATGATCTACTCCTACTTTATATACATATATTTTTTTTTTTTTCACAAGTTCACATTCTGGGGACATTGAAGGAATATTTCCCATGCTTATTAACTTATTACAGTTTATCGTATTTATTCAGATTATGATATAATGATATTCAATGATAATGAAAAAAAAACTTGTTCACATTCTGGGGACTTTGAAGGAATATTTCCCAGGGTAAATAAATTTTTATCACATTTATACACATTATATTTACAGGTGGTTTTGTGAAGAAATGGTCAGGTAAGATGCTGAATGTACACCCATCTTTGCTGCCGTCCTTTAAAGGCCATGATGCTCATTGGCAAGTGTTGAAGTCTGGAGTTCGAATCTCTGGCTGCTCTGTTCACTTTGTAGCTGTAAGTGTACCTTTAAATTAACCAAGTATTTCTTTCATGTTACACTGCTGCTAATTTGGTAAAATATATTTGCTCTCATTTGAATTTAGGATGTCTTCTTTCTGAGAATTTGCCTTAAAACCTTTTACATTGTCAGTGTCACTTCAAAGCAATTTAATTCAAGTAAGTCTAAAATGGGTGTTTCCTGGAACTGTGCAAATGTGGGGTTGTTTTTTTTGCCTAACTATTTCCTTGGTGTAAACAAAATTTACCATAAAAACTTCACAGTTCACTGCCACTCAAAATAGATTAGTCAACTTCTTGCATTTATTTTCGAAGTGGTGACTTTAAAAATTTTGTTTGCAGAACCTAATTAGCTAGGAAAACTCACAATATTCTTAATTCTGGTAAAAGTTTTTTGTCCATTGTTAGTATGTTAGTAGAAGAAATTTCAGTATCAAAATTTATGCCATTGGTTCTACTCTGGTGCCTGTTAGTGCCTGAAAAAATGTACGGAAAGGCACCTGATATCTTCCACAACCAGTAAAGCTGGATCTAAACTGTGTTGGTGTGACATAAAACCCAACAAAAAAGTATCAAAATTCAAGATCACCTATATAGAAAATGCTACACTCTTGAAATTATAGATAAGCAGCAAAGATATGTTAAGGTAAATTTGTGTAAAGTCTTTAAAATGTCTAGTATATATTTGTTTTTTTATGATACTATCCTGGAAAAAAAATGGCCTTTACACTGGCATTTTGCTTATTTATTTAAAACAGCCCTAAACATTGCCTTTTCTTGTTACCAAGATAGAGATGTATATAATTAAATATAACATTCTATATTTGTATTAACCAGTTTTGTAATAAATTGAAATGTGATTTTCATTATTTGAGCAGCGTCATGGCAAAACCAACATAGTGCGTTTGCGACCAGCATGGATCCAGACCAGCTTGTGCATCCGCACAGTCTGATCAGGATCCATGCTGTTCCCTTACCAACCCTATTACAAGTAGAGAAACTGATAGCGAACATCATGGATCCTGGTCAGACTGTGCGGATGCGCGGGCTGGTCTGGATCCATGCTGGTCGCAAACGCACTATGTTGGCTTTGTCATGACGTGGCTCAAATTTTGTATATTAACCAGTTTTGTTATAAATTAAATTGTGTTTTTCATTATTTAATCTTTGTTACCAGGAAGAAGTTGATGCAGGTGCGATCCTGGTCCAGGAGTCTGTGCCGGTTTACCATGACGACACGGAGGACACATTGAGTGAGCGTATCAAGCTGAAGGAGCACAAAGCCTACCCTAAAGCACTGGAAATGGTGGCCAGTGAGCAAGTTAAACTCAAACCTGATGGCCGTATTGAATGGTGCTATTGATTGTATGTTAGCATGTGACAGTACTGTGTGAAAAATGTGCTAATTTTATTATATCATTGATGCTTTTTTTGTTATCTTAGTTTCTCTTAAAGAGTTTTGAAAATAAGATATGCTTTAGTTAAAAGTTAGCCAACAGTTTCCATTTGTTGTGCTGAGAATAATTTTAAAATTTTAAATGAATTTTTTTAATTAATTCTGTATGGACTAACAAAGTTGTAGACCTATTGCTAAATGTAGTTTAAATATGACAAAATTGACTTGTTGGTTTGGTGCTAAATGGTTGTGTTTACATAATGTATATTTCATATGATTTGCAATAACTTTATTCATAGCATCAAATGATTATTTCTGTAAATAATGTGTTTGGTTTAAAATGAAAATATTTCATTTTGATGTCACTTATATATATACATTGCGTAATATACATGTTTTTTTGAAACTGAAATATTTCATGCAGATTTTTTTTTCAACATTAAAATGTCTTTTGATACTGCTGTCACATATAGAAAGAGTGCCTTAAAGCAGTTTTGACCCAGATTTGTGCAATTTTGTAGGCAGTTTTGGGGCTGCCAAGTGGATAAAATCATAGACTTCTAACCAATTGACTGTCAGGGCTGTGTGTTCAAAACCTGCCAGGGACTTTTGCTTCTTTCATTTGAGAAAGCTATCCAGATAACTTACATCATCATTATGTGAAAACTTTCCTATATTCTAAGAATTAAACTACATTGACTCAAATAAAACTTTACACCTGTTTCAACTTAAAACTTCAAGCCACTTGCCCCTCTCCGCTGTAGGTTCAAATCCTGACAAGGACTTTTAATTCATTCATGTGAAGAAGCTATCAAGCTAGCTTACGAAACGTCGGTGGTTCTACTCAGATGCAGGCACCACCCCCCACTCCCGAAAAAAAGGCAACTTAGGAATTGCCCTAAAAGGACTGGTAAACATCTTTCATGTGTACTTATGGAGCCATTTAAGTCTGGAAGACTCTCCGTTTTATTTGAAATCATCTGTCTTTTCTAAATATGTGGAGGTTTCACTTTGTAAGTAACAAGATTAGAAATTAATGATAAATATAGTAAATTCTGTCACAAAAATATAGTAAATTCTGTCATATTCTGCATGTTATGTTTCACCTTTTATTGTTGAAATTTGTACATTTTTTATGGAACTTTATAAAAAAGAAATTAAACGAAAGGAGTAGTAGTCTTTTATTTGTTTTAATGAAGACTTATGTAACTCGTGTGGAGGCAAGCATAATATGAACCTTTATGAAATTTAATCTGTTTTACTTGACTTTAAAATCCAGATTGTGTTCATGAATATATTGTTTAATGATCTCAACATTTACAAATCACCATGACTATTTTTGTACAAGATTTTTTGTTGTTGTTAAAAGAATACTCATTTGTAATAATAGTTATAGTTTTAATAATACTCGTTTGTAATAATAGTGGTAGTTTATTATATTAAACTTTAGGGTTTTTTTTGTATGTTTATTAATGAGATTACCCAGAGGTTGTTATTTTACATGTGTTCATTTTATTTTTATGCCCCCGCCATATAATGGCAAGGGCATATAGTGTTACCCTGTTCCGTCATTCCGTAATTCTGTCATTCCGTCCTTCCGTCATCATCAGTTTCTGTTCATTATCTTAATAACCGTTGCACATATTGAACTCAAATTTGACATATAGTTATGTCATGAGAAAATACAGGTCAAGTTCGAAATTGGTCATGGTTCGATGATTTTTGGCAGAGTTATGCCCCTTTTATTTTGAAAATAATATGAAATTTTCAGTTTCCGTTCATTATCTCCCCAACGGTACAACACATTCAACTCAAACTTGACATATGGATATGTCATGAGAAAATACAGGTCAAGTTCAAATTTGGTCATGGTTCGATGATTTTTGGCAGAGTTATGTCCCTTTTACTTTGAAAATAATATGAAATTTTCAGTTTCCGTTCATTAACTCCCTAATGGTACAACACATACAACTCAAACTTAACATATGGATACGTCAAAGGAATGCGCAGGTCAAGTTTTAATTTGGTCATGGTTCAATGATTTTTGGCAGAGTTATGCCCCTTTCACTTTGAAAATAATATGAAATTTTCAGTTTCCGTTCATTATCTCCCCAATGGTACAACACAATCAACTCAAACTTGACATATGGTTATGTCATGTGAAAATACAGGTCAAGGTCGAATTTGGTCATGGTTCGATGATTTTTGGCAGAGTTATGCCCCTTTTACTTTGAAAATAATATGAAATTTTCAGTTTCCGTTCATTAACTCCCCAATGGTACAACACATTCAACTCAAACTTGACATATGGATATGTCATGAAAAAATACAGGTCAAGGTCGAATTTGGTCATGGTTCGATGATATTTGGCAGAGTTATGCCCCTTTTACTTTGAAAATAATATGAAATTTTCAGTTTCCGTTCATTATCTCCCCAACGGTACAAAACATTCAACTCAAACTTGACATATGGATATGTCATGAGAAAATACAGGTCAAGTTCAAATTTGGTCATGGTTCGATGATTTTGGCAGAGTTATGCCCCTTTTACTTTGAAAATAATATGAAATTTTAAGTTTCCGTTAATTAACTCCCCAATGGTACAACACATTCAACTCAAACTTGACATATGGATACGTCAAAGGAATGCGCAGGTCAAGTTTAAATTTGGTCATGGTTCAATGATTTTTGGCAGAGTAATGCCCCTTTCACTTTGAAAATGATATGAAATTTACAGTTTCTGTTCATTATCAACCCAACAGTGTTACATATTCAACTCAAATTTGACATATGGATATGTCAAAGGAATGGGCAGGTCAAGTTGGAATTTGGTCATGGTTCGATGATTTTTTTGGCAGAGTTATGTCCCTTTCACTTTGAAAATAATATAGATACATCTTAGGAATAAGCAGTTTAAGTTGGAATTTGGTCGTGGTTCAATGACTTTGGACAAAGGTATCTTTCCTGAATGTTGGAAAAATTGGGAACTTTCAGTTTCAGCACTCATACTTTATTTTGGCTACAAATATGCAATATGCTATTTTCAAAAGGTTAAGACTGAATAATTTCAGTGCCTTGAACATTGTATAAAAATGGTTTGTGTTAAAAGTTTTAAGGGCTTTGAACATAGAATGAAAAAAATAATTTGTGCAAACAAATTTGGAACTAGATATTATAACATTTGAAATTTTGGCTGCATGCGGGGGCATCCGTGGCATGATGACACATTTCTAGTTTTAATTTTTGTTCCCATGTTTGACCTGTGGTGATAAGTATAATTGAAAAAAATTAAAGACCCTTTGGCCTCAAAAATTCTATTTTTTCTTTCAAAGCTTTTAATTTGGTGTGTGTCTTGTTACAGTTTTCAAAAAGATACATATTAGCCATAAAGCTGAGCTATCTTTTTGAATTTTGGCAATTAGTGTACAGTTATAGTGATTTTGTATGGAAGGTGTACAAAGAGGAGCTGTCTCAAAAAACAAACATTGTTTTACAAAGTCTCATGTTTGGTCAAGTCATTTATACTTGGAATTGTTTTCCTTAATACACACTGTTCATTATCAAAGTTACATAACCGATTATGTTGACTAGGGTTAAACTGCCCTTTAACATAGATGTATTTTTAATGTCGTAGATTAATAAAAAAAAATCCGCCTTTCTTTCATCTTAGTCACTTTATTCCCTTTATTTAGAAAAAAGTAGTCCAAAGTCATTTATCAGTTATGAAAACAATAAAATGCTTCTTGTGATTTAATACTCACTATTTCATATATAAAAACCAACATTTGTTTATCAATATTTTGCCATAATGTAATTAGATTTTCTTTTCTTTTTGTTTGCAATAATCATGATTTGATAATTAGCTGATCTCATTTATGCACTTGAAACATGATTGTTTCTTTTTTCTTCAAATGTTTACCATGTGGCCATAAACTACAATAATTCAATTCGAACTGTAGTTACATTGTGCCATAGATTAATTATGTGAACAAATATTTTCTTTCAAGTTGGTTAGTAAGTGCTACATGTACATTGTTATTTTTTGCATTGTTTATTTTGGATGATTCATATCATATAGATAGTCAAAATATTTCTATATTAAACAGATCTGATTCTCTGAATGCTACTCATGTTAATTATATGCCTATATTGTCAGTCGGTAAAATACCCAGTCAGCTTACATGCATTGTAGCTGTGAATTCAGCACTGAAACTATTTTATTTTCTGCTCAATTTTAAAGTGACATTATGCCCATTTTTTTCATTGTCAAATTCACTTTAATTGACTATATATTTCAATAAACTGGTCGTTATAATGGTGATTGTCTAACACATGATATTTGAAAATGTTTAGGGTAAAAAATAAATCTACCTAAATATATAAAAAGACTGCCCCACTCTTTTTATAGATTGAAAGTTACAGATACATTCAGACAGATAATTACACACATTTCACAGGGCCTAGTGAGTTATTTATCATTCATGTGAAGTAAATTTTAAAATTGAAAGTAATTATGAGAAAATGTTAACTTATTTTTACTTAAATTTTCCCAGACATTTCTAAATTTATATTTAGATATTTTGAAATCAAGTTCTGATATGGCTTGATAATTCCAAAATATAATTTATTTGATAATTTCCAAATTGAAGTTATGAATAACGTTATCAAAAATAAACCTTTTGAAAATATTCCAAAATGTAAATAATATTTTCCATATTAGAAGAAGGATAATTCCATGTAGCAAAGAAAGAATGTTAAGGGTGAATATAAACTGTATAAACATTTTTTATTGTTTTGGAACAATTGCCTTTAAGCTGTGAGTGTGCTAAGGAAAAGATATTATTTCAGATTTACACTTCCACCAATATTTTTTTGTTACAAGGATGGATGAAACAAATTTCGACCATTCTAAGATTGAAATTGACATATTTCCAAATGAATTTGTTTAAATGTTGATAATTAAACAATATTGTTGTCTCTTTCTTTTCTGGTTGTTTACTTTTATTCTAAGAGTTTTGTTAAAGATAAATAAGTAAATTTAGTTTAGTTTCATTATATTATTGATAAGTTATATTTTTGTATGAAATAAAAAGCAGATACATTCTATATGTTTGAAAACTTCTCTTTGCCTTTCCATAATGAATCTTTATAATTATGTTAAGAAAAACAACAACAACAAGTAATTGGTCTTTGCCATTGGTGGCTTTAATAACAACACTGGTTACTTTGATTATAATACTGACTGTTGTAACAATACTGGTGACTGTAATAACAATACTGGTTACTGTAATAGTAACAATAAATACTACAATAACAAAACTGGTTAACAAAGTGATACAACTTGTTACTATTATAATACTGGTTACTGTAATAACAATACTGGTTTATTTAAACAATACTGGTTACTGTAACAACAATACTGGTTTATTTAAACAATACTGGTTACTAAAATAAACCTGGTTAC